ATCGTAAACTTTATACTCATTATTGACTGCGATCGAATGATGGATAACTTCTAATGTACTCGTTGAATTTTGCCCGCTTGACTTGCCCACCGGAGTGCTTGGAATAAGCACGTTTTACTTCCGCCACTGCCTTCTTATTTACTACGTTGCGGCTGTCTAAAGCAAATTGTCCCTGGCGTTAGCCATAAGCCCCTGGGTGCGAAAAATCTGCGAAATTCACCCTCCGAGTTTCTGGAGATTCGACAGCTAGCTCTCGCGTCCTACATGTGTAGGCGTGGCATTAGGCACTAGGGCAGAAAACACTACTAGACTGCATCCCATTTGACAGTCTCCTCTGTGATATCCAACTTAATGGTACAGTGACAACTGAAAAGAATAGGGAGACTGAAGTTGTCTCTTTGTGATCTCTCCTTACGCACCCACTGACTGTATTTCGGATGAAGTGAGGATGAGTTCTACCGTAAACCGTCTAGCCTCCTCTCGAAAGCCAAACTTTCGGCCATGGTAGTTGTTGTAGGTGATTTCAACGCACAGGTGTGTGGGCTGAGTGAGGCAGAAAGCCACTTGGGTGACACTTTTGAAGTCCCTTCTGAACAAACGGATAACGGTGACCGCCTGTGACAACTGTGCTCAAGTGGCCGCCAGCACAAATTTCAGACACAAAGAAAGACGCCGTCTGAAGTGGCGTCCGCCTATAGACCACATTGCTATTAGTCATCGCTGGAGAGGATCCTCCTTCTGGAATACGTGGTAGACAGTGACCAAGCGTTGCCCTGGCGCGTATATGCTTGCGTCTCAGTGGGCGTAGGAAGAATGTGGCAACAAAACCACCACGAATACTGCTGGACAACGAAGACACCAAAGCTGTGTTAGGTGAGAAGTTGGCTAGGCAGTCATCGGAATCGAAGACTATCGCGCATCCAGAAGAAGAATGGTACCATCTTCAGTCTGCTGTAAAAGCAACGCTGAGGACCGTAGCTGACTCCAAAATAGTGGTTTAAAAAGGCCAGTGGATATCAGCAGCTTCTTCCGAACTAGCAGATGCACGCGAACACATCCCTGCAGGCTGTGAGTACAATGAAGAGCGAGCCCAAATAAAAGTAGATTGAGAAACAGTCTATGCAACGACTGCGAACAGTGGTGGGCAGCAAAGGCTAAAGATATGGGAAAGGCGGCGGTGATTGGTACTAGTAGACAGTCATTTAGACTTATTGAGGGGACCATGAGGAAAAGGTCAACTACTGTTAGTAAGACCATGGTGGAGAAGGACTGGTCGGCGACTCGCTTGCAGGGGGACGACTGCAATGATGGGCAGAACACTTCGAGGAACGGTTCAGGTGGCCTCCAGCCAACGTAACTTCACCCTTATTCAGTCAGATCATAAAATGGAACATTGAGATAGATCCCGAACACCAGCAGGAGTCGAGAAAACGACAGGTAGCCCGAAACGAGGGAGGGAGGCAGAATCAAACGAACTAACTCCTGAGGTAAACAACGATGGTGATGGAGTGCTCTAAGTCACGTTAATGGAAGTATTGACTTGTATTTGGGAATCAATATACCAACCCCTCTGACTTGTCTCAATCACTGATTATTCCACTCTTCAAGAAAGTCGAGAAATCTTGGGACAACCACAGGGGAATCAGCCCGACGAACATGCTGTCCAAGATTCCATGTTCCATAATTCTTCGACGCCTGAGTGGAACTCAGGAACAGCAAGCCCGAAAAACCAGACAAGCTTTAAGCCCAGCCACAGGTGTATTCACCAAATGTTCACACGGCGCCAGGTTTTGGAACACAGATACGCTTACAGACACCTGAAAATAGCTGTATTTCTCAACCTGAAGGCGGCACTCGACTCCGTTGATCGAGCAGCCTCATGGCAATGTCCCTCACTGAAAGGCGTGCCGACTAAGTACATCACTTTATTGAAGGCTCTCTACTCGAACACTTGCTGGCGTGTTGGAGACCATGGTGAGATGTCCAGGGAGGTATGCTCATCGAGTGGTGTCCGTCAAGGGTGCCCACTCTCTCCATTCTTATTCAATTTCATCATAGATATTCTTATGGAGGTCTCCCTCTCGTCATCTGACTACACAGAGGTTGACCTAATCGAGGGATAAATTTCGTTAGACCTAGAATACCCAGATGACGTAGTCATGTTAGGTGAAGTTGCTGACAAGATCCAGTCTTCTGAACACTTTGAGTAGCAATTTGAGAATGTTTGGGATGCGTTTCTCACCACCCAAATACAAGTTGTTGCTCCACGATCGGTCTTCAACGGTGCCATGGCTAACAATAGAGAGTGTAGAGGCTGTGTGTTGAACACTTCACTTACCTGGGAAGTGGGATCAGCCCTGGTGGCTGGCCCAGTGGCCGATGAAATCTCTGCACGTATACAAAAGGCCCGGTTGGCTTTCGCCAACCTACACAACCTGTGGTGCCACCGAGATACCCGATTGTCTACTAAGGTTCACGTGTACTGCACAGCAGTCCGGTCTGTTCTACTGTATGGCTGTGAAACATGGCCATTCAAGGTGGAAGACATGAGAAGGCGTTTCATCACTGTTGCCTCCGTAGCATGAGGTGAGCAGCGCAGAAGTCAAGTGTAGAGCTTTAGGGAGAAAGACTAAGTCAGTTGATGCGGTTGCGAATCTTCATCGACTGAGGCGGTTGGGACGCGTATCACGAATGCCTAGTCACCATCTGCCTGTTCACACAATGTTGGCCGAAGTAGGCCCGGGCTGGTAAAAGGATTGAGGTGGCCAGACTAAAACATGGCACCAGTGTATGAAGTGTTCGACTGTTGGTTTGAGCCATGTAGGACGATGCAGACTAGCCAGCTGGGGTCGGCGTGACGAGAGGAGGTAGACGTTGAAGACTCTAGGCAATATGGCTGAGAAACAATGTCAGTAGCGCAGATTTATACATACATTATCCTCATCTCAACGACGCCATACCGAATCTCACTACTTTCTCATCCTTCCTTTCTATTTTTTCGTACCTTATATTTCTTTTGATTGAATTTCCTTATCTTCTTCTAGCGGTTCACTGCCTTTTTACTTGGCGTGGTGATATATGGGGTGCGGCAACTCGGACCGTCGCGCAGTGATGACTGGCAGTATGTTGATTTAGATGATAGATGGATCGTTGCTGAAGTCTTCCGTACGGGTTCCACAACTTCTGAGGCAATTAGTGAGCCTGTCCTTGTGTTAGATTCTGGATCCAACTGAATGGTGGGCATTGGGTTATCATCAAGACACTAGTCGGACTATTCCTCAGTGTCCGGCTCATCACTCAGGTCATCCCCCTTCCTAGGGATTCATAATTAGAGCCTTCTTCCCTACTGTTTTGCCAAGGATGGACTTTCTGCTGCAACTGTCACCGCTACCTCACTTCTTTACAACTCCCTACTGGTCATCCCACGTGGTTATTGCATAAACGTATTACGGTATGAATTCGAGTTGCTTCCACTCCCCACAGTGGTTGAAGCCTGTAAGAATGCATTCATTACATCCAAAGTAGCTTGGCACTTGCACCGCCTAATTGAGCTGGGAGTTAAAAGTGCAATGAGTGAACATGCGTCTTCACAACGTGAAAGTAGCAGCTGTCGATCGAAAGCTGACTAGGGTTGGCATCTGTTGCCTTCGTTAGTCCCGAAATTAATCCTCTACTCATTTTCCGCATCTGGTTGACCACAACATTAACTCCTTCTGAGCTGTTGGGAAACTTGAAGAGAACCAGACCATGGAATGCAAGTGATGCCTACTGGGAGTAAACATGAATAAAGTGCCCTGGATAATAGTCATAAAAAGCCTGCCTTGAAAGGCACTCTGCCGCTTACTGGATCCGAGTTATAACACAAATTTTAGTGGACATATACAGAAACCAAACCTAGAACATACCAGTTTAGACAGCAGACACAGCTCCTACCTCCTGGGAGTTGCTGGACCCTAGAACTCCGTGGCTCAAGGTATTTCGTCTTGGCCCTTCAAAAGCTGACTTGAAACTTAAGATGGAGATGGGAACACACTCAGAACTGACTCGATTTTCAAATTTCATCCGCCACTTCTTTCTACCTCCTTCTTATGTGCAGTTTAACAACCACAAGAGCTGGTGGTTTAGCTATTCTGGATTTGGTAGCCAGTTAAACGAAAGCTTTTTTCTTTCCGTCAATAACCACTTGAACCCTAGCATTTGTAGAAAGACCCTTCTCCATACTGTTACCAGCAACACATTTCTCCGTAAAGGTCTTCCAGTCCTCTTTTATTGTTCACCACTCGCATGGCCTCCAGAAATAGTTTTTAAGTGACACTCAGCACTTACTTGGAGGCAACTGAAGAACTGTGAATTGAAAATGGGTAATTGATCTTACCAACGGCTCCGCTGCTCCTCCTCACAAGCCAAGCTAGTTTGCAGAACAAACTCCTTCAAATAGATAGTCACCAAATCCAAGGCCATAGGCAGGTAAAGCATGAACAGTCTTGTTGCCACTGAAGAAGCATAACCAGAAAGAAGGAAACAAACCTCAAGACTCAGAAGCAAGAGCTCAAAACTGAGTTTCTTCTACTCACATGATTGATGTTGGATGTTAAAAGATATTGGATACCGGAACAATATGCCACCTTTTCGTGTCTTCGACTGGTACATTTAGTGGAAGACAGGATCTTCCTTGTAGTGAACAGTAAAAGGAGTAATGCAAATCAACTGACATGATACTTCTAGTTCTGAAAACTAATTTCTGAATAAACTGGGACAATTTACATTACAGAGCATCGTTCATAAGCTGAACCTTACTTATCCTATAAGGATGCTTTAAAATGAACAAGCTTAGGTAGATGAAAGTGGTTCCGAAACTAGACAAGAGAAACTTTTACTAGCTTGTGAAATATATTGGATATTGAAAAAGGTGTTTCTTACGTAGCGTACCTGCGGCGCTTCTTTCCAGTGTATTAGGATTTTCACATATTGTATCCCTACTGGGCAGATATTTCTTGAGTATGCGTCATCCTCGGCGTCATCCTCATCATGGTGAAAAATATGTAGGTAGAAACTTGGTGACCATCTCAGAATAAAGCTTTTAGGTTTTGTTTGTTTATCGAAATTTAAATATATGCTTAAATATATTTGGTGTCTGTAATACTTTAGTATATTATTTATTATTTCAGCTACTTACTTTCAGTCATAATTTATTACTTTAGCAAAATGCAGTCGGCTTACCCACTGTTGAATGGAAAGCCTTTTTGTTTAGCCTTTGCTTTCACTTCTGTTAACTAGTATCTATAGCTATTACAGGTTAGTTAACCATTCACCTCAGAAAACGCTATCAGAAAGCCAAGAAATCATGATTCAGTCGTTTTTAACACAGATGTAAGGCAGTGGAACGCTGCCGAAACATTTTATCTGAACATTCAATGGCCACTGTGATAGCAGTATTGAATCTCGGACAAAAACAAAGATAAGTGTAGGTCATTGGTATAAGACTTTATTTTCAAAGACGTTACAAACAATAAATAGGACAACTGAACTTGATCTAATTTGCATGCTGTCTGCTAGTAGCCGCATTCTATAAGAGCTTATACCAAGTTGTTAGGGCTAAGTTTGAATGCAAGGCTCATCGCAGTTCAATGGATCACATCTTGTTTTCATTGACTAATACTCAGCTTTCAGCTTGTACTGGGCTTCAAAGATGAGCAACTCAATCAGACGGCTAGAACGCCGGTAATTTTGGTGAACTCTCCTACAATAGGTATATTTTGTGGCTAGTCTGATTATATATCTGGTCAGAATAGTCATCAGTGCTATGCACCAAAATGTAGGTTTGTATGCTTTTTGTCAGTTTGTCACTAGTGTATAGTGGTTTCCGACTCACCTGAATAACCCTGATGGTTTCGGAGTTTATTCTTTCGAAGTGCTTCGACATGGTTTTTTTTAATGAGGCACTTTTTCTTTTCAAAGTGTACCCTTTAATCTTTGCTGAAGAAATATTCTAATTTCGTTGTGAATTAGCGTACCTGATACTCAGCTGTAGATTAGTGTTACCTAATTTTGATGAAGCATTTGATACATTTACATAAAGTATAAGGGATTCGGGCAATTTCTTATCTTCATTCTCAAAATGTGACTTTGTAAAAGGCATCAAAAGAGAAACGTGATTTTAACGCAATATATTTCGAAATTTTATAGTTTATTTGAAGCCCGTGATTCAACTTGTATATAATATACAACAACAGCAGAGGCAGAATGATGAATGCATGCTCTACTGAACTGTTTTTTCTAATAAATATGTTTTGTCTAAGGAAGTAGATTTCGTAAGTTACTGTTCAGTTATCGGAACTCACAAATGTTCACTCTTCATTTTACTTAGTTCGATTACAAACGAAATCAATTTTCAGGCTTTGAACTCACAAGAACTATCCATCTATTCTTACACGATAAAACCATACGACCAAATTTAGTGTTTACAACTATGTAATCCGGAGTGAGAACAGCGAAATTGGGTAAAATGCACCAGTGGAATTTTGTCGTAGTTCCTTTTAGCAAACGAAATCTTCAGACCATAATCTGTAATGTACTGGATACAGACAAAATCACTGTATAACCTTGCACACTAGTACATCATTTCAAGTTGCCACTCTTCACAGTATCATCCAGAGAACGAGTGGATAGCGGAAAAATGGTACGAAAGTCTTCTTGTGACAACTATAGAGGAATCAGCCTAACTAATGTCGTGCCCAAGATCCTTGGATCCCTAGTTACCCGACGTCCAACTGGAGCTCGAGAACAGTAAACTTAAGAAAATCGGACAGGTTTCAGACCTGCATGAGGGTGCGTTGATTACTTTCTCACTCTACTACAGTTTCCATAGCCGACACCACATTTCTCGAGCTAAAGATATCATTTGACTCTATCGACCGTGAGGTGTTGTGGCAGTTTCTGACTATGGACGCAGTACCGAGCAAGTATATGATGCTTATGAAAGCTCTCAGCTCGAACTCACGCAACCATGTAAGGACTTATGTAGAGTTGTCATGTGAATTTAACAAAACTAGTGGTACCCGCCAGGAATGTCCACTGTCACCGTTCCTATTTAACTTCGTTATAGACTTACCAATGGACATAACCTTAGGTACGCCTGACTTGACTGGCGTTTATCTACTCCATAGAGGTCATCTGGTTGACTTGAAGTATGCAGGCGATACTTTCTGTTAGGTGAAAACGCTGAGCCGAAATTTGAGTATGTTTGGTATGCGTTTCGCTTACAGGTGTCAAATGTAAGATGATGCTCCAGGACTGGCCTGTAACCACTTCTAGTTTAATGATATGCATTGAAGTGGCGGAATGTGTTGACGGTTGACGGGTTGCTGACGAAATCTCAGGTCAGATACAGAAGGCTCATTTGGTGTTTGCTAACTGGCATCATCTCTAGGGGTACATGTGCTACACATGCTAAGCTTCTTTCGACTTCGATCTGCAATGCTAAGGAAAGTTGGATTGGTATAGGAGTCTCAGAGTAGCCAGACAAAAAATGGCATCAGTCCCTGAAGTCTCTGACTGCTTGTCTGAGTCACGCATGGAGGTGTAGATTATCTGGTTGGGGTCTCCGAGACCATGGAAATCGGTAGTCTCAGACTCCAAATGAAATGCCTGAAAATCAATCTTAATGGTACAGATGTATTCACTCTTTAATGTCTTCTAAAGGTTGGATGTTTTGATTAGCTTTGCTTTTTAAATTCTCTCTCCTTCCATGCATCTTTGTCTACTTTGATATCAGTCTTTCCTCTCCACTTCTTTATTGTGGAGTGGTGCAAGAATTCGGCTCAATCCACTTGTGTGCAAGGTTCTAAATTGATTTTATCTCTTTATCTGACTCAAGGTGATGCGTGTTTGGGTGTGACGGAGATCGTCATTCATTTAGTGAGGTCCTTAACAATTACTTTGGTGGTTTGTGCGTGTGTAAAAAATGTCTTCCTATTCGCTCTTGTAACATTCACTTTTGGTTTTCCTGGGATGGGTTGGAAAAAGTGGAGAGGGTCAGTGTATGACATGACATCGTGGATTGAAGGGTAGTTGTGTTGGTTGATAATCCGTTGCTGCCTCACAACTCTACGATAAGATCCAAAAGACCATCGAGCTCATTTACTTAAGATAATAGCAAATATCGCTCAGAATCGAAACCTCTGGAAATCATGCTATACCTGTCTTGTTCCTTCTTTTATTGCAAAATAAAATGAATACCTCTTTAGACTTATTCTTAAGACAACTTCTTTGTTAACCCATTTCTGTTTTTACTTCTGTCCTAGTTTTCTTTTCTTCTATGCATGTTACTTTTTACTTCGGTCCTAGGCCTAACGATATTGCATTGAAGCGTTTCTTGCAAGATCTACTATACTTACCTTGGTTGGGTAGACTGAATACCATATACCTACAAGGCACGTTTGGCCGATAGCCTAGAATGTGATTTTAATCTTCAGTTTACAGTCTTAAAGTGCTGAGGTTGTTTGTCATTCTGTATTTCTCATAACGGCTTGCCGCTTGCCTTAATGCTCCGCGTTATAGGAGAAGGGAGGTAGACACTTCAGTTTTTGGAGACGGCACCATAATTTCACTTTAGTTGAATCTTATTTGCCAAATGAAGCTATTTCCAGATTAGTCGAAGTAGTTTAATTTGATGCCGAGAACTAATTCCAGTAGAATTTGTGGTGCTATTAAAATTCATTGGTCAGATTGTCCGATTAGACCCTATTAAATCAGACTTTAGAAACATTCCCACTTATCGCTTTTCTAAATATTTAGTATTGGTGCTAGATTCAATTAAAAACCGTCCTAAATCAAGACTTATTAACTCTTTCGACTCGAAGCACAGATTGGATAATATATATTTAGATGACGATGAAGAAATGGTTTGTTTTGATGTAGTTAGTTTGTATACTAATATACCGGTTGGCACGGCTCTAGAAGCAGTTAAAAATGGGTCAATTATGACTATGAGCTTACACTATGAACTAGGGTACCAGTAGATGATATCATGTTAGGAGTACAGCTATACCTAACTTCCACAATCTTCAGGTTTCAGAATAAAATATACAAACAAACAGAATGAATTGTCATGTGGTCATCAATGTCCCCTATTGTGGCTGACATATTTACTAAGAGTTGGGCGCCAATGGCTGTGACAACATTTAGTCCGGCTCCAAAAATGTGGTTTCGATGTGTAGACGACACATTTACAATATTGAAATTGGGGCATATACAAGTTTCTTTACATATAGAAATTCAATAGTCAACGCAATCCAATTCACCTATAAATTAGAACATAGTAAAGGGGAATTATCCCTGTTGGATTGCAGAATAAAACGGAAACAAAATATGAGTTTAGGCACTAGTATCCACAGAAAACCTTCATAACTCAAATCGTTGCTTAGACTTTAATTCAAAGTTGGCTCGGTAAAGTGTCCAAGTAACAGGCCCAGAAAAGCTAGTGAAATAGGTGTAAGATAAAAAGCCAGATGCCTAAAAGACAGATACCTTATTTGTCAAAAATTATCCTGCTAAATTCATTAATGAGTTACTTAAGAATCGTCAGAAAAATATGACTAGTATTAGTAACACATCTGGTAGTAATAAAAGTGCTAATAATAATAGTGGCAATAGTGTCTAAAGGGAATTCAAAATAGTATTCCCATACAAGGAAGACAACACAGAGATATTGCGTAGGATTCTCAATAAGGCTGACTGGGATTAGAATAACATTTAAACGTACAAACTTGCTCAGAAATAAGTTTTGTAAGTTAAAATATCCTATTGATTCAATTAGACAGAATAATTTAGTTTAACAAATCCCTTGCAACGATTGCGAAGTTAAATACATAGGTTAATCAGAATAGTCGACCAGGGTCAATTAAGATATCCGAGGACAGAAACCTAGGTCAGAATTGGTGGACCCTAGTAAGATAAGGAATTTAGAAAAGAGCTGGGTTATAGCTATGCATGCAACTACACACAACCATACAACAGGATGGGGTAGGGTGGAAATCTTTAAAACTAACATAGCACGATAAAGGGAGAGATTGATAAATGAATCTTTGTTTATCGAATCAACACCTAATACATGGAGCAACAGGAATGACTCAGCACCTGTTCTGGATATATGAAAAATCCTACTACCCATGCCACTAAGGAGGCGAGAAAATTAGGACTATATAAAAAGTATCTCAATGTTGTATAGTTATCTTGATATGCCTATAGACAATAAATAATGTCCGAAACGTAATCCAGTAAACAATACTCTTCCTTCACTGTGTGATGAATCTAATAAATCCAATAAAATGGAATTACATTCTGCCATAGTGCACAAGTTGTACTCTTATATTTTAATGAAACGTGGCGCCGTAGTTTAACCATGTTTGCGTCCGAAGATATCCTACTTTAGGATACAGAGCATCTAAATGTCGATCGCTGTGGGTGGCCAGACTGAAATATGGCACCAAAGCATGAAGTTTCTGACTGTTGGTTTGAGCCATGTGGAGCGATGCAGAGTAGGTGGTTGGGGTCCGCGGGACAAAAGGAACCAGTGGCTGGAGACTGACTATAGGTGATATAGCTCAGAACCGAAGTCAGTGGCGCTGATGTATACACACATTAACCTCACCTTGACGCCGCTATACCGAATCTCACCACTTTCTCATTCTTCCTTCCTCTCTTTTAGTACTTTATATTTCTTTTGACTGCATTCTCTTATCTTCATCTTGCGTCTCACTGCCTTTTTACTTGATGTATTGATATGAGGTGTGGCAACTCAGACCGTTACGCAGTGAGACGGTATGAATTAGGGTAAGGGAGCAATGCATTTTTTCTTGTTGCTTGCTTGCCCGGAGTAGGATGTTCGGTATGTGACATTAAAGCTTTATGCTTTTAAGTCCGAAATCATATCTCGAACGTGTGCATTATGTAAAGATCTGATCTCCTAGACAAAATCTAAAAACACTGCACAGTTGCATTTCAGAATATCTATTCTTCATAACATATGATCTTTTCAAGTTGGTATTCATCGTGAACTGACATCAGTTGGTGGAACATTGGGAATCTAGGAGCACTAGATAGCTGTTTTATCCTAGCATAAGACTCCTCAGCAGTGCGCACTCATAACCTTGGATCGCCGGGGGTTGAACCCAGAACTTTCAGGTTCCTCAGCCAACAGATTACCAATAAGCCACTGGGTCGGAATCCACTGGTTCATATTTACTACTTCTGTCAGTTCACGACATAGCGTGACTATCACTCACTGTCATCGTTGAGTAATTGTTCTCATGTCCACCAGGTTTGAACCACCGGTCACAACTTTCACCAACTGATACCAGTCCAATAATGAATACGAACTTGAAGTCATAAGTTCCCACAAACACCCAAATTGAATATTATCTTTTAGGTCTATGAGTCTTGACTTTGACTAGAATGAGGTTTGATAAATTCTAATGTTGATTAACATAGTTTGATATTCATCGTATCGATTGACTTCATACATCTTAGTAATGATCTTCCTATAACAGGTTTTCGAAGATATTTTCAGAAGAATGGTAAGGTTTTGTTCAAGTTTGTATTAATATTATTATTATTATTATTATTATCATTATCATCATTCGTATTATTTGTCCTTTTGGTTCCTAGTGGAAAATATGGCTATAGGCTTCAGTAGCATGTCGCCATTTCACTCTGCTATCTGCCGTCTTTTCAACCTGGCTCCATGACTCCCCACAAGATCTCATTTCTTCCTCCATGTCACCCTCGGACGCCATGACCTGGTGCATGATACCTCCAAACTGTCTTCTCAGCCTATCTACAATCTAATCTAATCCAATCCAATCCATCTCCACTTTCTTCTTCTGCATATCTGTTGGGGTGATGGGTTCTTGGTTACTTGGTTCGTTGCTTGGCCAGAGTCCCTTGTTGCTTACTCTCATTATTCTGGCCATCTGATTTTTAGTATCGAGCCAGCGTAGTCGGCAGCTGTTAGTGAATGTCTGTAGTTTGTCGGAAATGCTTTTCATGAGGGTCGCCAAGTCTCTCAACCACCACATAGAAGCAGTGACTTGGCTAACTTGGTGTTGTAAATCTGGATCTTGTTCATGCTTTATGCTGAGTGTAGAAGATCTCTACACTAGTTTCAGGTTAATGAACCCTGTCTCGCTTTTCCGATCCTGAATTGGACATCCTCGTCTGTGCCACCACCTGTAGTTGAAACGATGCTGCCTAAGCAAGTAGGTAGTTGAAAGAGACAACTTCCTTTAGGTATCTTCCGTTGATGCTGTTTGGTGCTTGTTGTTGGCGGTGTGGGTTGAGTAACTTCATCACCTCTGTATTCTCTACATTTACCTGAAGGAAGTCCCTCCTTCGCTGCCTCGTCTCCCAACTTGTTAGTTTGTAGTCAGTGTATTTAAATCAACAGTCAAAAAAATATTTATAAACATTTAATTTACTAGTCACTTTCATTGTTCATCTTCAATCTCTGTTAGTCCAATATAGATATAAATCCTAAGTCTACTATGAATAGTACCGATTGCAACCAGTTGGACCCATCCCCTCCCCAGGTTCGAAAACGTGGGCGACCATTTAAAAAGAAGTCGAACAAACTAGGTTAGTTTGTTCTTCTTATCTTAACGTACAGATTTTATATCATTTTTATTGTTATTTGTTAGTAATATGTTTCACAATTGAAGAGTTTTGACGTTTGCTACTAACGTTTATGGGTTCGGGTGATTCGATTCGTTTTCGATGCCACTTTAGAATGTGCTCCGAAACGCTTACTTACTTCGATCTATGAGTCTGCTCAATGTATGTGTCATCTTCATGTACAATGTAATAAGATTGTATTTTTCACATGCTTTAAGGGTTTATGAGAGTATGCAGGCTTGTTAACTTCTATTAATTGAACCTTATCTGCTTAGTATGTTCTTTTAAGTGTGACTATAAGTTTCTGATTAAGGTTTGCTCTATGACAGTCACTTTTGTACGGAAGCTTGATGAAAACTTCTTTATCCAGGATGAAGGTAAGATCAGGTATTGGCACTCTAATTATTTTGTATTGACTAATAAATTTTGGTGGTTAGATACAACATTGTGGTTCAGTCAATGTTCTTGTCTGGTCTTTTAAAGTATCGTCTATGCGTATTTGTTGAATTCCATTGAATAATCATTTGACTAAAGCTGGTTTGTACTGAACTGGAAGATAGCTATGATAATTCTAATATCATCTTGTCCGTTTAAATTTTTTCTGTAGATAGATCATTTTATAGTTCCATTCTGCTGACTAGTTAGTATGTTCAAGAAAGACAAACAATCATCTTCCTCTTCTACAAATCTCTACATGTATCCTCCCACTTTAATGGCTATGTTTCACAGTTGTTAAACTTAACAGAGGAAATTTCTACACCGTACACTTAACACTTTAAATGCATTCAGAAATCTCGCCAAAGTCCCGTGTCTAATGTTGGTTAGCAAGAACACAGGTTAGTGAACACTATTCTGATATATGGCAAGATATATCATCCTCATCCAGTTAGGCAGATGAACAGATATGACTTTGAAGGTGGCCAATAAGGATAACATCACTTCTCATTGTCATAGAAGATATTGACGTTAACTATCCTTGAAGAAACAATTTGCGCTGATGAAAGAACAATAAACGTGGTGGTGGTATATATATAGTCCTGACGGATAACTGCTACCTTCACGTGGTGGTCAGGGTTGTAAATCACGATGACCCGACGAGCTGCTATGCTGATGAAACGCTTCTTCTCTTGAGGTTCTACCATACTACAAAAGTTTATTGGGTAGTGATCAGGCAAAAAAAAACACAGTTACCCTTATCTTTAACATGTTCTTAAAAAGAGATGATACATTATGGTAGCTTTGATCAGTCATCATTGGTTAGCGGTGATACAAAAACACAGGATGTATGTCCGATCGCGCCTTCCATAACACAGGCCTAGTCCTCAGCTCTGTGATCACACACTAACCCTTCTATTTCAGATATATCAAAGAAGACTTAGCCTTCTATGGTATGAGCAGCTGGGAAGTGTTAATCGCCCTCAAAACTCTCTCAACGCTGAAATTGCCTCAGAATTTAGTCGTCTAAGAATAGAATTCACTGCATTCATAGTAGTTTTTTTTACTAAATAAAGGAAGGAAAATTATTTATGCCTGTCACCATCTCACACTATCCCACTCAGGTGTCTTGTACATATTTGTGCAGTAAGCGATAAGACACACACCTGTTGTGTGTGTGTTGAAGGGGTGGGAGCTTGTGATACTATCTGTCTGGATACCTCATAGCTCGATAGATGGAACGGGGCTCTATGGTTGATAGTCATCTCCTTAATCCCTTGAGCTACACAGCTCCACTCCGTAAACAGTAAACGCTCATTAATTTTTAAAATGATAATTAATGTTTTTGTATACATTATATATTTGATTAATTTATCTTCCACTAAAATTGACATTCTTTTCATAGTTCATTTTAGTCAGAGTTCACCAAATTCATTATCTGATACACTTAGTGTTAGTATAACAAAAATTTCTCATGAAAGTGAAACATTTTATGCGAATAAAATGTATAAATCTCCAATTTTATCGACATCAGATGATTCTATTTCACAGTATACTCGTGAATTAAGACCTCGTACAACAATAACAACACCGCCACCACCACCACCACCACCAACAACAACAACAACATCGAATTGTCATCCACCTGTAAAAGATACTTACGACGAAGAGATAAATTTCGACGTATTCCACATGATATTCCAAATAATTCATTACATGACAGTTTATCTACAGTAGATAAATTATGTGAACATTCTGTTCAAACACACGATGATCATAACAATGCTATTTTGGAAGAAGATGATGATGATGAGGAGGAGGAGGAGGAGGATGAACGACAAACACGAAGGTATCCAATGCGTAATCGTAGAAATACTACAGTTTATCAAGGTAAGAATCGTATATTATTTTCATGTCTGTTATTCACTTGTGTATGTATGCGTATGATACAGTAAAAGTTGTTGGAAGATTTTAAACATCCCTAATGTAAGCGCTTTAGAAGCTTGATAATGACTATGAATTTTTACTCTTTTGTTGAAATTCGCTTATAGTAGAGTGTTTCAACTGTTGTTTCGTTATTTAGTGCTAATAACTTCATCAAAATCGGAGGTTACAACATCCCGCAAGGTTCTATATGATAAAGTTGACAAGTATTCTTCTACATGAATGATTCTGCGTTGTTCCAACTGTAGAATAAAGATGATGTGCATATGTAGTATGTTGTGTGTGTGAATGGATTAACAGATTGAGATTTATATGTACACATATATGTTAATAGTTCGTATCGCATGTATGAATGTTGGTTATGTCAGTATGTCACACTTCTTGGACACACTGGCAAGTGAAGCAGAACAGGCTGCAGGTAGGAGAGACCTAACAACATTGTATCAAATAACCAGGTTACTACCTGGGATGGAAGAGATCAACACAGATGAAACCAATAAAAGATGAAAGAAATCTCATTACCAAAGAAGAGAAACAAAGGAAACGATGGGCTGACAACTTCAAAAAGCTCTTGAATCAACCACCACCTGCAAACCAGACACAGAATTACTAGTGAACACAAGCCCTCCGAGGAAAGTCGAGGCCCTGAACGTCACACCATAAGGCTACTGAAATGCGGAAAAGCAGCAGGACCAGATGGAATCCCGTCAGAAGCACTGAGAGCAGACGCAGAGACAACAGCGGACATGCTCACAACATTATTGCAGAAGGTGTGGAAGGAAGGAAAGGTAGCTGTCCATTGATTGGAAGAAATGGTACCTTGTCAAACTCCCAAATAGGGGAGACCTAAGTGTTTGCAAGAACTGGTGTGAAATCATGCTGCTGTCCACCGAAAGCAAGCAAAATATTAAGCCGCATCATCCTGGAGAGACTAAAAGATGCTCTGAATTCAAAACTACGACCAGAACAGGCTGGCTGGCTGGCTGGCTGGATTCAGGAAGTACTAATCATGTGGCTATCAAATTGCAACGCTAAGCTACGCATCATCATAGAACAGAGGATAGAATAGCAGTCAACTCTCTATCTGAAATTCATCTACTTTGAAAAGGCCATGGGCTGCGATGACCGAGAAGTAATTTGGTAGGCAGTTGCTTCAACACTACGGAATACCACAAACCTTTATCAACTTCATTCAACAACTATATGAAGACGCCATATGGTAAGTAATTGACAATGGGAAGTTGAGTGACGCTTTTGAAGTGAAGACAAGGTGGAGTGAAACACGATTGTCTACTATCACCGATGATCTTCCTGATTGTGTTGTGGTGGACTGGATCATGCAGCAAACAGCTGTGAGGAGCTAGGAGAGGGGCACACGCCGGTTCGGGGAGAAGATTTTAGAAGTTTTGGATCTCGTCGATTACTTGTGTCTAATGTCCCATAAACTCGAAGATCTATAGCAAAAACTAGCAAGTTGACAGAAGAGGCAGGCAGCAAAGATGAGACTTCAAGTGAATATAGAGAAGACATGGGTGATGAAGATACCCAACCACCACCACCACCACCACCACCAACAACAACAGAAAGAACCAATCACCATCAATGGAAGAAACCCAAAGGAAGTAGTCTCTTCCACCTATGTAGTCACGGCAGCATCGTTTCAACTGCAGGTGGCGTTACAGACGAGAATGTCCAATTCAGGATCGGAAAAGCGAGACAGGGGTTCATTAACCTGAAACCAGTGTGGAGATCTACACTCAGCACAAATCGTGAACAAGATCCAGATTTACAACACTAAGTTAACCAAGTCAGTGCTTCTATGTGGTGGTGAGAGACTTGGCGACCCTCATGAAAAGCATTTCCGACAAACTACAGACATTCACTAACAGCTGCCGACTACGCTGGCTCGATACTAAAGATCAGATGGCCAGAATAATGAGAGTAAGCAACAAGGGACTCTGGCCAAGCAACGAACCAAGTAACCAAGAACCCATCACCCCAACAGATATGCAGAAGAAGAAAGTGGAGATGGATTGGATTGGATTGGATTAGATTGTAGATAGACTGAGAAGACAGTTTGGAGGTATCATGCACCAGGTCATGGCGTCCGAGGGTGACATGGAGGAAGAAATGAGATCTTGTGGGGAGTCATGGAGCCAGGTTGAAAAGACGGCAGATAGCAGAGTGAAATGGCGACATGCTACTGAAGCCTATAGCCCTATTTTCCACTAAGAACTCAAGGGACAAATAATAATATAATCAGCATGGATATTTAATATGTTTATAAGGTAATTTAGTTGAATGATTGTAATTCTATAAGAATACATAGATAGCTGTTAAAGTAAAATAGTTTAGTAATCTCTACTAGGAATAATTTGAACCGTAACTAACTATCGCTTACCTTATATATATCCTACTTGTTTAAATCACTGTGAAATTTCTAATGCTTTGCAGTTGAAAATCCACACATCAGTAATAATAATAACAATAACAATAATCATAACAATCCACAACAACAGAGAAACTGGTTAGTTGGTACTGGTTATGACAAGTATAAACGATCACGTCAGCTTAAATCCAAGTGAGTGAAAGTTATTGTTTCACATACATATAATTCTCCGTTGTTAAACAGGGTTGAATTATTCGATCTCTGTCAGTAGATGAGCTGGTATGCATGTATACCTTGGCGCACTGCTGGCTATTTATGATGTTGTATTCATCTTGATGACTAAGTGTAGTTTAGTGGATAATCATATTTTAGTGTTTGAAGCGACGAGTACTCAGTTGAAGTCTTCTTAGTGGGGACAACGTTGGTAGATGGTACATCCAACCCATCCTGCATTCCACTGTGAAGTCATCAAAATGAATACAACATCATGAGTGAAAATTATTTTACGCTTTTATCTAACGAAATATATTGCATATGAAATAAACATATGAGATAATATACAAGCTACGTATATTACATTTCTGTTTTATATTAATCTCTGAGTTGACTGACTGATTGAATGATAAAATCAACGTAGAATCACCTTGTATAGAAGTGCATCACCTTAAACTGCCATAGAAGTAAAGAAACAAAGAAGTAGTGGAGAACATTTGTAGCTCAGGTGGATGGTCTTGGTTGTATTGTGTTCTCTGAGGAGGTGGGTTGTTTAACCGTGGAGAAGCTTTCATCGTCTTTCTAGACAGCGATATCATCCACAGCACTAACTTCAGTATGAAGTGAGCTGTCAATACCTCTCCATGAGTGTTTTAGTAACTTGCCTTGACGAAGTAGTCTATGGTTGGTTGTTTCCTTTGATTGTTGTGTCATCGATTGTATAGACTTTCCTATTGACTGTTCCTCTGCTTCACCTCTCACCTTTCTGTCTTTTATCATCTTTCTTATTGGTTGATAGATTGCGGTCTATGTCTATATAGCTGTTGATTGCTGACTGACTGACTGGCTGACCTGAATCCCAAGCTTCTAAGAATTCTGTGATATTTTTTGTGTTCCTCTTGTCCAAAATTTCTACATTGTCAAAACTGGATTCATATCCATAATTGTCCCCGTGCATTGAAATGAGTGATGAAATGTCGTGACGTTTAGTAGCGAATTGTTGTTCATGTAGACGAAGGCGAAGAGGGCGACCACCTTGTCCAATGTAGTGTTGACTACAGTTATTGAAGTTGATTTTGTAAATGATATTCGGTTCATCTTCTTTGGTTGCTGCATCCTTTGATCTGCATAATAGGGTTGTGTTTGGAGGGAATTTGTTGGTTTATGAGCCACACCAATTCCAAGTGGTCTCAGCAATCTTGTCGTGATTTCTGATATATTCATTATGTATTGTAGGAAGATGCGTTTATTAATTTCTGTTGATGACTTTGTAGTTGATGATGTACGGGATAGGCATGTCGTGATAAAGTTTCGTGGTTAGCCGTTCTTCTTTAGGGTGGACGTCAAGTAATTTTCTTCATTTCTCCGTGAAGCTGTTGTGCTGCAGTATGTTCTCGCTTTTCTGAATAGAGTCTGCACGCAACTGATCTTGTGGGTTGTTGCTACTGTAGTTGAAGACTTGGTCAGTCAGTGTGTGTTGGCTTCCTGTACACTTGGGTTTCCAGCTTCCCCGTATTCGTTCTATTGACCAGAACATCCAGGAATGGCAGTTGGTTGTTTGACTCCTTCTCCATTGTGAATTTGATGTCATTGAAAACGTTGTTGATCAAATCGTGGGTGTTTGCTCTATCATCTTTTTTAATCATGACAAAAGTGTCATCTACATAGCGAATCCAGAATTTTGGATGGATCACAGGTAGGATGATGACTTCCAGTCTCTGCATCACTGTTTCTGCTATTAATCTGGATATCGGTGATCCCATTGGAGTTGCTTCCATCTGTTTGTATATCTTGTCGTTGAATTGGAAGTATGTTGTCAGATAGAGGTCGATAAGTTTCATCAGACTTGAACATTTGAGTTTTGTACGTTCTGAAAAGTTTTTGTCTTCATTGAGCAGAAAGGACATAGTTTCCTTGGCAAATTGGCCAAGTACAGTCAATAACACAACAATCAAAGGAAACAATCAACCATAGACTGCTTCGTCAAGGCAAGTTACTAAAACACTCATGGAGAGGTATTGACAGCTCACTTCATACTGAAGTTAGTGCTGTGGATGATATCGCTGTCTAGAAAGACGATGAAAGCTTCACAATTAAACAACTCAGCTCCTCAGAGAACATAATGCAACTAAGAAACGAAAAAGAGGTGGATAGGAGAAGAGTGATATCAAACAATATGAAGATAATGGTTAGTATGAAATATTCAAGCCTTAGATGAGACTGTTTTTCATGTATGTCATCAAAAGTCAGTCCTCAACTACTACTGATTCGTTTCGTTCCGGAAACCTCAATCAAGTAGTCAACATTTCCCCCACATGGCTGGGTCAGAGACTTTATCGACTTGTACCATATGTGTTAGTCTGGCCACTTTGAATCTTCTTTCGATCTAATCCAATTTCCCATAGCATTACACGTCGAGTTAGGTGGTGGCTTACCTATCTTATCTAGTATTCTTCACCTGATCTCAACATTACTCACACAGTGATTCCACCAAACATGAGGAATTCTACGAAGATACCTGTTATCAAGCATGTATAACCGCTTCATGTCTTCTACTTTTAGAGGCTATGTCTCACAACTATAAAATACCCGACCGATAGCTGCTACCTTGACGTGGTGGTCGGGCTTGTACATCACAATGACCCAACGAGCTATGCTGGTGGAACACTTGTTCCCTCGAGGTCCTACCATACCAGAAAGGTTTTTTGGATAGCGGTTAGACGAAAAGCACTTACCGTTGTGGTGTAAATTACTACAGTATGATGGGGGCGTGAGGGCGAAGTCGTACTGCTGCTAGCTGGATGGGGTGTGACAGCAGTAAGGTGTTTCCCTTGGATGACCAGCAGTGACATGAAGCTCTAATGAGAAGTTGTGACCTGTGAGGTCAACCAGTTGGAAGTGAAGCGGATGCTAACTGAAGACCCTGGGTGATAGTAGCGCTATATCGTGAATTGACAGAAGTTAGAAATTGTGAACCACTGAAAACCGACCCAGTAACTGAGTTCGCGTTCGCCGTGAAACCTAAAGTTCCTGAGTTCAATCCGTAGCCAGGTCGTGGATTCATACTGCTGAGGAGTCCCATACTAGTCTGACGAAACAACTGTCCAATGCTCCCAGGTTTTCAATGGTTCCCCAACTGATGTCAGTCTATGATGAATACTACCTCTATATAATGAATCTGTTACATTGCTCGTCTTGTTTTCGTACATTTCTTAAACATTATTGATTATAGGTTTGGTAGAAATTGGGATCATCGTGGTTCGAGTACATCGTCTTCGTCTAGTGCTTCAGATGGATCATTATATGATCGTGGTTCAATTCGCCGGAGTTGGGGCCGTTTGCATTACTCTACTAAAGAGAACAAAGGTCCTATAACAACTATTGATAATGATGTTGATGAGAAACATTTTGAGCGTCGTCGTAATAAAAGTACTCTGAATGCCAGATCAGAGCTTATGCCAATTAACAAACATCAATTTGGTTATGAAGTATGTTTTATTTAATTCTTTTCCGGGTTTTTTTTTATAACCTGTTTTCCATTTTGTGTGTTTTATGTGGTGGGGAGAGGGGGTGGGGTGAAAATGACTCGATGAATGTGAAGCGTAGCATATATTCCTTCAGAAGATTTGTTGAAACGATTAACTTTTACTCGTTGAATTTAAAACTCATTCCACCTACTCCTAGCTCGTATTGTTATCCCTCATGTAATAGGTGTGATTCGTTTTTTAGTGCATAAACATCCACATGGTTACTGAGTGTAGCGTTTAGTTAGTTGCTACCACTGTCACTAACTAATGCCAAGAGGATATTCGTTTATATATATATATATATATATATATATATATATATATATATATATATATATATATATATATCCTTCCTAATTTCAACTACTGCCTTGATGTGAGAATGCGACCAGAGTATATCGTAATACTTGAAACACTTGTTCTATGAGTAGCTATCATAATTGAAGGTGTTTGAGGTGTTAGTATCACAGTATTACCGAATCACGCTACACTACCTAAAAATGGGTCATAAAATTGATTTTAAGAAATCAAATTGAATATGTACGGAAACTCTCTTCGAAGAACTGGATAAACACGATGATAGCCTTTTATCGTAAGGAGACTTGTGGAGAAATAAGAATTCTCAACAAACGTGACAGGAGAGTTTATTTTTGTGCGACAAATAGTAGTAATAGTACTTCAGTGTATGTGGAGCAGACAACCAGGCTGGTAAGTGTAAGAGTAAAGTAGCATAGAATATATTCTTATTATTAATTTTTCCCTTAGGTTCCTATTGGAACATACCGCTTAAGTAGCACGCCTTCATTGCACTCTCTTCTCTGCAGTCTTTTCAACCTAGCACCACGACAGCCCAGAAGCTCTCATTTTCTTCCTCACACACCATCTCCTCCGTGTCACTCTCGCTTCGGACACCCAACTCGTCGTTTCCCATTTCAGTTCCACTCGGGTGCCTAACCTGGCACATGATGTCCCCAGTCGGCCTTCTTAGTGTGTGCCTAGTCCATCTCTACTTTCTTCTTCTGCATATTTGTTGGGTGATAGGTCCTTGGTTGGTTCGTTGCCAGCCAACTAGCCAGCCAGCCAGAGTTCCTTGTTGCTTATTCTCATTATTCTGGCCATCCGATCATCAGTATCGAGCGTCTGGTTAACTATTTCACTAGTTAATAGCTGGTCCCAAGCCCGGGGTAAAGAGAGAAGGTTGGGCATAGGGCTAGCAACCGTACCCTGTAAAACCAATCCAATCACTAAAGAAACTTCAGAGGACAAAAAAAAACAAAGCATAGAATATACCGAAACCAAAATCCGAAGGCCTCAGTAGAGGTTAAAAAGAAGGTAGAAAAGAAATCGATAATCACGCTACACTATCTAGAAATTGGTTACAAAATTGACTTTGATAGAACTAAGGTTCTACAGAAAGGTTTTAGGTTATTCCAAGAAAGAATGATAGCCGAAGGCCTATATGTATATATCGGCAAATCAGGAAAGTATGAATAGACGAAATGGAGTAAAGAGTTAAGTGTCACCCTTGGCAGTTACTGATTCAAATGATTTATTACTAACACACTGAATGATTAGTTAGGTATCATTTGACTATCTGTGTGGGATAGCAAAGGTGATTTGGCCGACTAGTAATTTATACTGGTTGCTGATTGAAGTTGAGATGACAATTTAGGTTGCAGTGGAATTGGAACCAGTGACCAGTTGGGATTGCAACCCGATACTCTATCAACTGAGCTACGAGGTTAAACTACTGACTAAATTGTTTATCTGATGTTTACTAACGTTACGTAATATATAATTTTACTTGTTGTTCCTTTTTTCCTATTTATTAGTAAAAATCTCCTGTTTTAGAACTGAATAATATTATCGACTTGCAGTGATAAAATTAAAATAATCTGGTCAGCAGTCGGACTGCGAAGCCTTGGGTTGACAGCATCGGTCACTGGTTCGAATCCGACTGTAGTCGAAATTTTCATTTCACCTTCAATTATCACCTAGTATGAATGATTAATTATCATAGTTTAGAAAGACAATCAACCTAGGATCAGGCATTATTGTGTAATGGTCCGAGTTGTCACACCTTATATCACTACATCAAGTAGAAAGGTAATGAGGTGAAGGATGAAGATAAGAGAATGCAGTCAAAAGAAATATAAAGTACTAAAGGAGAGGAAGGAAGAATGAGAAAGTGGTGAGATTCGGTATAATGGTGTTAAGATGAAGATAATGTGTGTGGGGATACATCTACGCCACTGATGTCGGTTTTCACCCATATCACCTAGAGTCAGTCTCCAACCCCTGGTTTGTCTTGTCCCGCGGACCCCAACCACCTAGTCTGCATCGCTCCACATGGCTCAAACCAACAGTCAGAGACTTCATACACTGGTACCATGTTTTAGTCTGATCACCTCGAGTCTTTATCCAGCCTGGATCTACTTCAGTCAACATTGTATGACGAGGCAATCGAAAACTAGGCATACATGACACGTGTATCGCAAAACCTCGTCAACCGACTTACCTCTACTCCTAACTTCTGCATTATTCATATGACTATTCGAAGAGAGGATTTGATAAGGAGATTAAATACACGTCATTGAATTCTTTTAGATATATAGCCTTAATATTTTCCCTGAAGAAGCTTGGATGATATTTTCTTGTGAAACAACGTTGGCATTATTTTGATTTCAAACCTGTTGTGACTAACACATATACTAATGTCAACCTTTTACCCTAGAGCCCAGTATTTACCATTCAATCAAATCTTAATTATAATTTCTACAGATTTATTCCTTTTATTATATTAAATTTTGAGGGGGTTGTGGAGATTTGGAAATATTTCAAGTTGTTATTCATCGAAGACTGACATCAGTAGTTGGAGGAACAAAGGAAACCTGGGAGCACTGGACAGCTGTTTCGTCAGACTAGTATGGGACTCCTCAGCAGTGCGCACCCACGACCCCACCGGCAGGGATCGAACCCGCGACCTTCAGGTTCCGTGACCAGCGCGTTACCATTGAGCTAGCCACTGGGTCAGAATCCAATGCTCCATATTTCCAACTTCTGTTAGCTCACGATATAGCGCAAACCGCCACCCAATGTCATCGTTGAGTATTTGTCCTCACGGCCATCAGGCTTTGACTCCACCGGTCACGACTTGTCATTGGAACTTCGGGAATACTTCTCGAAGCTAGTCACCAATGAGCACTAGTTCAATTGTCAGTCTTCGATGAATAACAACTTTTATTATATTAAATTTTTTTATATGAAACATCTTATAATTACTTTTTTTTTTGTTTCTTTTCTGTTTCTCATCTTATCTTTTACTTCATAAAGAAAAAATCTACAATCAAGGATAAATCATTTACTGGTAGTTGTCTTGCTGATATTGAACCAATGTCAATTGATTCATCTGTAGGATTTGAACAAATTGGTGGTAATGAAAATCATATATTAGCATTGAAAGAAAGTATAATCTTGCCTTTAATGTATCCTGAAGTATTTATCAAATTCAATGTTGAACCACCTCGTGGTGTATTGTTTTCAGGACCTCCAGGTAAAAATTCCAAAAGGATTTTACCTCATTTTATTTTCTTCTTCTTCTTCTATATAAAGAAGTTTTCAAAATAGGATAATATTTTTTATAATTGAATTGTATATTCCCTGTATCCATATGTAATTGCTTAGAAGATTGTAAGGCACTTGTATTGTATAGAGGTTAAAGAAAGAGGCTACTTTCAGTGTGGATGCAGAATACTTTGGTCGACTCAAATAATGTGATATGACTATAAAGGTATAAAAAGGTTACAAATTTTATTGGTAACAAGTGAAGTACACTTTAGAATGGGACAAAATTGGTTTCTTTACTACTTTCTTCCCTCTTGAGATCAGAGATGTTCCCACTAGAATTGCCATACACACATACATATCTTGTCAAACTCTGAAAGAAGGATGACCTAGGTCTTTGCATACAAGAACTGGCACGGAGTCAGGCTCCTGTTCACTCCAAGTATGATATTAAGGTGTATCATCCTGGAGAGACTGAAAAATGCTCTGGATTCAAAATTACAACCGGAACACGGTGACTGCCTTCAGGAAGAACAAATCATGGGTGAATCAAATTGCTACGCTACGCATCACCATAGAACGGAGCATAGAATGGCAGTCAACTCTCTACCTCAACTTCATCGACTTTGAACAGGCCTTCGACAGAGTCGACCTAGAAGTAATTTGGGAGGGAGTTGCTTCAACACTACGAAATACCACTAACTTTGATCAACCTAATTCAACAGCTGTATTCTATGTGATGCTAAATGCCAAGTGGTTTACAATGAAAAGCTCAGTGATGCTTTTAAAGTGAAGACATGCAGGAGTAAGACAAATTTGCCTACTATCACCGATGGTCTTCCTGATTGTGGTCCACTCGACTCGACTGGATCATGAAAGAAACAACTGTGAGGGGCTGTGAGAAGATAGGCATACACAGTTTGACCGATGAAAACATAAAGACACTAGAAGATTTGGATTTCGCCCCCGATGATGGTTTTTGTCGAATATCCTGCCACACAAACTCGAAGATCTACAGGCGAAGACTAACAGGTTGACAGAAGAGGTGAGGCAGTGAAGCCGGGACTTCCTTCAGGTGATGAAGATGCCCAACCAACAACAACAACAACAACAGTATGAACAACAAGCACCAGTCATCATCAACGGGAGAAACCTAAACGACGTAGTCTCTCTCACCTACCTACTTGCCTAGACAGCATCGTTACAGCTACAGGTAGTGGTGGCACAGATTAAGATGTCGAATCAACGACCATCGGAAAGACAGTAAGACACAGGCCTTCTTGCAATAATCTGAAATCAGTGTGGAGATCTACTGCACTCCACTGCACTGCACTCAGGATAGAGCGTGAACAACATCGGGATTTTCAACACCAATGCTAGTCAAGTCAGTGCTTCCATGTGATCGTTCAGAGACTTGGCGTGTCACGAAAAGCATTTCCAACAAACTACAGATATTCATCAACAACTGCCACCTACGCTCACTTGTTACTGAAGATCAGATGGCCAGAATAATGAGAATAAGCAAGGAGGAGGAACTCACTATGGCCTGGCAACGAAACGAACCAACAAAGCAAGAACCTATCACTCAACAAATATTCAGTGGAAGGAAGTGGAGATGGATTGGGCATACACTGAAAAGGCCATTTAGGGACATCACGCACCAGGTCAGGCACTCGAGTGGAACTGAAATGGGAAACGACGAGTTGGGTGTCCGAGGCGAGAGTGACATGGAGGAGATGGTGTGTGAAGAAGAAGTGAAAGCGTGTGGGCAATTGTGGAGCTGGGTAAAAAGACTGCAGAGAAGAGAGTGAAGTGGTTACGTACTACTGAAGGCGCATATGTTCCCCTAAGAACCCAAGGGAACCTCATAATAGCCTGAAAATTACACAATAACGTATTGCTGCTTTTTTTTTGATCAAGCTTACTGAAGTGTGTTGTCAATTTCTTATTTTAAAAGGTGCAATTCTCTACACAATACTGATATATAATACATTGATTAATCACTAGAGGGGGTAACCAATTTCATGTTCATTACCTACATCAAACTAACACTGATAAATGGTGTTAAAGACTTTATGTATTTCTGATACCGTAATTATACCAGCTTGAGACTTGCGCATACTTGTTGATGGACGATAGATAGAGGAGGTTATTGAAGTGAAGAATCATTGCATGATAGGAATTAGTTAGTTGATTAGAAAATTGTGCTTTATAAGTGCACATTGTCTAGTAAGGTACTCTTACAATGCTGTGAAGAAATTGATACCGAGCGAACTAGCCATAAACTATCCTTACTGTCAAATAAACACAACAACTAGTTGTTTCAGGTATCTGATGAGAGTTTTGCGTTTAATGGTTGGTATTCCTTTATGGATTATTGACATCAGTTGGGACTCGTCAACAGTACTCACTCATGACCACCTCCTTATCAGGTTTTCAATATTCCTCCAAATGATTTACAATTGTTAAAATGTATCTGTTACTTATTTCTTAAAAAAAGTGTACAGATATATCATTAAATTTTCTTAATATCTACACCTTATAGGTACAGGGAAAACGTTGTTAGCTAGAGCATTAGCTAATGAATGCAGTCGGTTAGCTGGAGGTAATGATGGTTCTGTAAAACAACGTCGTGCAATTGCCTTTTTTATGCGTAAAGGAGCTGATTGTTTATCTAAATGGGTTGGTGAATCTGAGCGTCAATTACGTTTATTATTTGACCAAGCATATCGTATGCGTCCTTCTGTCATTTTTTTTGATGAAATTGATGGTTTAGCACCGATTCGTTCATCGAAACAAGTATGTTTTCAAGTGTATTATCAATTGATATTTAAAGAATAATTGATAATGAGCATGTTTAGTAAAAATTTTTAACATTTCTATCATCGATGATTTGGGCATCCGAAGGTGACATGGAGGAGATTGTTTGAGGAAGAAATGAGAGCTTATAGGCTGTTGTGGAGCCCAGGTTCAAAAGATTTCAGACAACAGAGCGTATTGGAGACATGCTACTGAAGCCCTATGTTCCATTAGGAACCCAAGGGACAAATAATAATAATAATACATCATCGACCAACTATTTTCCAAACCTTACAGTAATTAACTGTCATGGTTATACAACAAAGACGTCTAGTGAACTTCCAGAATTCCCCTTTTTCATACTTTTAGTTCATAGTAAGGTTTAGCACAAAGGGGAGTAGGGTTGAACAGTACAAAAGTACTTTACATGCACGCTTACATACATCTTACAGTGACTACTGGCACTTCGAGTGGTGTATGTATGTGTGAATTCACTGTCATGAAGTGATATTATCCAGTTAACTAGATATTATGCTAAATAGTCATGGCGGCCATTTAGTTTACTAAATAATCAACCAATGTGTCTATCTTACAACTCGACTGATTAAGCGAACAATTGATGAAACGAAATAGTTGGTTATACAGAAACAATATATAATTTGTCCCTTGGGTTCCTAGTGGAACATACCGCATCAGTAGCTTGTCTCCATTTCACTCGGTTCTCTGTAATCTTTTAAACTTGGCTCCACGACAGCCCACAAGCTCTCATTTTCTTCCTCACACACCATCTCCTCCATGTCACTTTCGCCTCGGACACCCAACTCGTCGTTTCCCATTTCAGTTCCACTCGAGTACCTGACCTGGCGTGTGATGTCCCTAAATGGCCTTTTCAGTGTATGCCCAATCCATCTCCACTTCCTTCCACTGAATATTTGTTGAGTGATAGGTTCTTGCTTTGTTGGTTCGTTTCGTTGCCAGGCCATAGTGAGTTCCTCCTCCTTGCTTATTCTCATTATTCTGGCCATTGATCTTCAGTAACGAGCAGCGTAGGTGGCAGTTGTTGATGAATATCTGTAGTTTGTTGGAAATGCTTTTCGTGACACGCCAAGTCTCTGAACGATCACATGGAAGCACTGAGTTGACTAGCATTGGTGTTGAAAATCCCGATGTTGTTCACGCTCTATCCTGAGTGCAGTGCAGTGGAGTGCAGTAGATCTCCACACTGATTTCAGATTATTGCAAGAAGGCCTGTGTCTTACTGTCTTTCCGATCCTGGCTGGTTTTGATGTTCTTGTCAGTGCCACCTGTAGTTGAAACGATGCTGCCCAGATAGGTGAAAGAGGTTACCTTCTTCAGGTTTCTCCCGTTGATGGTGATTCGTACCTCTTGTTGTTGATGCTGTTGTTCGTTGGGTATCTTTATCAACTCCGTCTTCTCTACGTTCACTTGAAGTCCCGTCTTCGCTGTCCTACCGCTTCTATCAACATGTTAGTTTTTGCCTGTAGATCTTCGAGTTTATGGGACATTAGAAGACACAAGTCATCGGTGAAATCCAGATCTCCTAGGATCTTTTCCTTGATCCAGCGTGTGCCCCTCTTCTCGCTCGTCACAGCTGTTTGTTGCATGATCCAGTCCACCACAATCAAAAGGATCATGGGTGATAGTAGACAGCCTTGTCTTACTCCATCATGTCTTCACTTCAAAGGCATCACTCAGCTTCCTATTGTGAATTACTTGGCATGTTGCATCATATGGCATATAGGTGCTGTTGAAGCAGTTGCCAAATTACTTCTCAGATACAGAAAGAATATAATAAAAGTAATTATGATGGCTCCAACTGCAGGTGAGAACTTAAAATCTGGTCAACACACAAATACACACAAAGTCGATCATGAACATCTTGAGTTCCCTGTCCCAGAACAGATGATAATTATTTTCAACATCTAAGAGGTTATTCCAGTTAAATCACTTCTTCTGTGATTACCCTACAAACACTCTAATCCTTTCTTATCGATAAGAATAACACAGGAATTTACTGTTTACTACCAGACCCCAGATAGTACTTTCTGGTTAGTTTAACTAAATAATCGTAGGGGAATGAGTTATCAATTCTGTCTGCTGGTTTCTGGAAGTTTATGAATTGATTTCAGGTTAAAATTCATCATGGACTGACATCAGTTGGAGGAACCATTGAAAACCTGAGAGCACTTGACAGCTGTTTCGTCAGACTAGTATTGGGACTCCTCAGCAGTGCTCACCCATGACCCCGCCCTGCCTTCCAGGGATCCATCCCTGAACCTTCTCGTTCGGTTACCAACACGTTGCCATTAAGCTAACTACTTGGTCGGAATCCAATGGCCCACACTTCCTACTTCTGTCAATTCATGACCTACATCCAATGTTGTCGTTGAGTAACTGTCCACATGTTCGACCACTAATAAGCGCCAGATTAATTCTATCTGAAGGTTTGTAGAGCTTTATTAATTGATTTTAAGTTGGAATTCATCATTGATGATTAGCTTCGAGAAGTGATTCCCGAAGTTCCAATGAGAAGTAGTGAGAAGTGGAGTCGACCAAGTCGAACGTAAAGGTCGTGGGATGGATCCCTGGGAAGTTGGGGCGGATTCATGAGTATTCACTGCTGAGGAGTCGGACGAAATAGAGCTGCCCAGTGTTCCCTGGTTTCCAATGGTTCCTTCAATTGATGTCAGCTCATGATGAATTCCAACTTCATATGAGATATCAGTTTGAAATGTTTCTTTAAATATTCGTGTTCTGAGAATGAATCGTTGCACTGTGTTTGTCTGTAGCATTTCGATGATAAGCAACTTCTTGACTTTAGTCTGAAAGAATCGAGATTATTTCCAGAAAAAATTGAAACATTCAACAACCTTGTACATGTTTGTCTAGAACTCAATTAACCACATCTATTGTCTGATATGTGATGATACTATCTGTCTATCCAAACCTCAGTATGTATGACAATCGGTGTTCGAACTCACTACCTACTAGTTGAAAGTGAACTGACAAAATCAACGACTCACAGCTAGCTCCATGTAGAGAAAGAGTATGCAGAACCCAGTAGATGCATGTGAAGGTAGACCGATTTTTAGTCATATCACTCATGAGTCAGACCTCAACCATTGATTTCTATTGTCTCGTGGACCCCAACCAAGCAGTCTTCATCCCCCTATATGGCTCACATCAACAGTCAGAAACTTCATCAATTGATGCCCGGTCTTGGTCTAATCACCCTGAACCCTTTTCCATTCTAATCCAACTTCTCCTAGCCTGTGACTCGTCGAGGTAGGTGTTGGCTTGACAAGTTCACTATATGTCCAAGCCATCTCAGTCGACTGAGGTTCACAACGTCGTCAGACCACTGTTGTTGGTAATATCCAAGCTATTGGTGTGAACAGCAGTCCAACACCATTTCATTGAAGACCGATACAGTGTGAAGTGTAAACTCCCACCATACTGTAATCCATTTTGAACCAAGTTAACCAAACTTTCCAACTACTTACTACTACTACCACCTTCACCATGATTACAATCAGACAGCCTACACTTTTAACATATATCTCAGATTTACAGTTGAATACTTCATGAATAGATTTGATGAGTACATCGAGTGAAAGGTATGCACGTAGATCAGTTAATCACTTTAAATTTCAGTATTTTCTTATAATTGCTTGTATTATACCGTCGTTGATTACATCGAATTGATCAGTCTCTATTAGCATATGGGCTCGTGTGAGAACGCTTGGATATTACCTGTGTTCTTATTTTAGTATTGATGGATGGTGGCTACCAGTGGAATCCAGGATGCGTATTTCATCCTATTTGGGACTCATTGGTCAGCTGGATGTACCTACCTCCCAACGGGATTCGAACTCGGGAGTGATCGCTTCAAACGCTAGAGCGTTATCCACTAGACCATTGAGTCAAGATGTGATTATCGTGGCTCACTGGTGTAATGGATAACCCTCTGGTGTTTGAAGCGATCACTCCCGAGTTCAAATCTTGCTGGGAGGCAGGTACATCTAACTGATGAGTCCCAAGTAGGACGAAATGCACATCCTGGACTCAACTGTTAGCCACTATCCATCATTACTAGAATTCAGTTTTTTCTGTTATAAATATACTGAAGTTAATTTACTTTTTTCTCCCTGTATCGATTTTATTTTTGATTTTTTGCAGGATCAAATTCATTCGAGTATTGTTTCTACACTTTTAAGCTTAATGGATGGTTTAGATAATCGAGCTGAAGTAGTAGTTATTGGTGCAACTAATAGACCAGATGCTATAGATCCAGCTTTACGACGTCCTGGAAGATTTGATCGTGAATTCACATTTACTCTACCAAGTGAAACTGTTCGACGTCGAATTCTTGAAGTGATTACCTCTAAATGGGATCCTAAACCAGATTCATTGGTGAGTAGTAAGAGTAGTTCATCTTTGGATGTCATTTTGTTGATCGAACTAGAGCGTTTTCCCCCTTAGTTTTTTTAATATAAAATAAGTTCATTAAGCTAGTCTTGTCTTTGTTAGGCTACATTACTTATTATTGATTCACATTGAGACCTATCTACCAATATATCTAGTCGCTCGTGAAACATTTTCCAGCCTAAACCTACTTTGGTTAACATTGTATGACGAGGTAGACGGTAGATAGGCATACAAAACATATATCTCAACCATCTGAGTCGATAATGATTCATAACAGCGTTGACTGACTTTTCTCTTCTCCCTCCCTAAATCTCTACACCTGACTTCTGTGTTACTCATATGGTGATACCACGAAACATATGGCCTATACTACGAAGGCAGTGATGGTCTTCTTATGTCTTCCACCTTCAATGGACATGTTTCATAGCCATATAGTAGAACAAAACGAGCTGCAACACAGTACATTCGATTCTGAATAGGAAATCAGATATCGCGGTGGTGCCACATATGATACTTTGGAAAATCGTCGGCCAATAAGCCACCAGTGTTGATCCGACTTTCAAGGTAAATGAAGTATTCAATGCACTCAACCGCTTCACTCTTTATTGTTAGCCAGAGTGGACCATTGAAGACCAGTCGTGAAGCAATAATTTGCATTTGGATGGTGAGAAACATCCCAAACATTTTCAAATTGCCACTCAACGTGTCCCTAAGACTCTGCATCTTATCAGGATTATGTTATCCGCATATTCTCGGTTTACCGGGAATTCTCCTCTGATCAGATCAATCCGTGTGTAGTCAGATGACGAAAGGCAGACCTCTATAAGAACATCTATGATACAATTGAATAAGAATGAAGAGAGTGGATATCCTCGACGGACACCACCGAACGTATATAACTCATCCACCATCCTACCACAGGTTCTAACACACCTACAGGTGTTTGAGTAAAGCGCATTGTCAAGACTTCCTGGTCAACAGAGTCGAACATCCCCTTCAGGTTGGGAAATACAGCTATTGTCGGGCGTTGGTAAGTGTGCTTGTATTTCAGAACCTGGTGTAGTGTGAATATTTGGTTGATACACCCACCCACGGCCAGGTCTAAAATCTGCCTAGTTTTCTCGGTGTTCTGTTCCCGAATTCCACTCAGGAATCCTAGACACTATGTTCGTCAGGTTGGTTCATCTGTGGTTATCACAAGAGGACTTCTCGCCTTTCTTGAAGACTGGGATAATCAGTGATTGAGATAAGTCAGAAAAGGGATCATATTTGACTTTTATACACTAATTAACACTTCAGTCAGCTTGAAGAAATATTAGAAGCTGAGGATGACGGAGGTGGATAGATGTCTAAGGTAACTTAAGCGCTGACAGAGTTATGAGGGCGGTTGACACTTCCCAGCTGCCCACATCATGGGAGGCGAATATCCTTTGAGGTACACGAAAAAGAAGGGTTAGTGCATGACAGCAGAGCTCAGGGGACGTCTGCTAGAGGCCGGTCACGTACGGTTTTTTTGATGCCTGTGGTTTTAGATCACCACTAACCAATGATGACTGATCTTAACTACCATAATATATCATCTCTTCGTTTAAGAACATGTTAAGGATAAGGGTAACTGCTTTTTGTTCAATCACTATCCAACAGACTTTTGTAGTACGGTAGGACCTCATGTGAAGAAGCGTTCCACCAGTATGGCAGCTCATTGGATTATAGTGATATACAAACATGATCGTCGGTCGGTTGGATGGAAGAAAGAAAACTACACAAAACACTTGTCTTGCAAAATAATTTCGTGACCTGAACGCTTGCAGTGTTGAAGGGATTGGTCCTTACGTCTATTTGTTAAGGTTCTATGCGACCATCCTTGTTAATTGTTTTCCCTTAATCATATATACCTCAAAAAGTATTCCTCCACAGCATTGTGAATTGAAAAGTATGAACTATTGTCTTACCTTTGTCGTCAAGACTGTAGGTTAGTTAAAAGATTCGAACTTTAAAAGACAAGACATCAAACAATGAATACATCCACGCCATTGTTTTCGATTTTCAATCATCCCACCAAAAGTCCTCATCGTCTTAGTTGTATTGTGTTCTTTCAGATGGGTTGTTTAATTGTGGAGCTTTCATCGTCTTTCTAGATAAAATCATCTACAGTATGAAGTGAGCTGTCAGTATCTCTACGTGAGTGATGTAGTAGCTTGCTCTGTTGAAGTGGTCTGTGATTGGTTGTTTCCTTTCATTGATATGTCACTGACTGATGTCATAGGTGTGTGCCTGTTAGCTGTACATCTGGTTGACCTCTGACTTTTCTATTGATTGCTGACTGACTGATCTGAATGCCAGGCTCCTAGGAATTCTCTGATACTCCTTGTGTTTTCTTTCTTTCTTTCTCTCTCTCTCTCTCTCCAAGATTTCCACATTGTCAACATTGAATTCGTGTCCATAGTTGTTATTCACGCGGGTTGCCCTCTTCGCCTTCGTCTGTACGAACACCAATTAGCTATTCACCGACACGACATTTCATCACTCATTTCAATACACATGAATAACAACTATGGATATGAATTCAATTTTGACAATGTGGAAATCTTGGAGAGAGAGAAAACTCAAGGAATATCAGAGAATTCCCAGAAGCTTGGCATTCAGGTCAGTCATTCAGCAATCAACAGATGTATAGACATAAACCCAATCTATCAACCAATAAAAAAAATGATAGAAAGATGAGAGGTTCTTATCGCCTCGAGGACCTCAGCCAGGTAGTCTACATCTTCCCATACGGTTCAGATCAACAGATATAGGGTTTTTATCGACTAGCACCGCATGTTGATCTGAACACCCTGAACCGTCTTCCAACCTAATCTAACTTCTCGTAGCATGGTACTTCGATTTAGGTAATGGTCTTGCAAGTGCTGCTTATGTCTAAGCCACTTCAGCCGATGAAGGTTCACAACTTTATGAATCCTTCGACAAACTTCAACATTGCTCACATGATGATTTCCTTGAATAGACAGACAATAATTTCGGTTAACTTATCCTGTTTAACGATACTCATTTTTTTTGGTACACATAGATAGGTATGTGTGATGTGATGATGATGGCCTCCCGAAGACTTTCATCAACCGGTATCACTTCGTCTCACCGATTCCAGCGTAGAATAAATTTATTTTTTTCATATATTTCATCTGTACTTTGAAGTTTCTTTAGCGATTGGATTTATTTTCTGTGGTAGGATCGCTAGCCCCATACTCAACCTTTCCTCTGTTTCCGGGCTTAGAATAAACCGGCTGGTAAACTACTTTTATTACTGAAGATTAGATGGTTAGAAAAAAAATAAGCTACCAAGAACTCAGTCTGTCAACGAATCAACCAACCAACAAATATGCAGAATAAGTAAATGGAGATGAATTAGATTAGACATAGACTAAGAAAACCATTTGATGATATCACGCGCTAGGCTAGACTGTGGAGTGGAAGAAAATCTCAAACGACGAGTCGGTCATCCGAGTGTGATATAGAGGAGATGGTGTGAAGAAGAAATGGAAAGCTTATAAAGAGTTGTGGAGCTAGATTAAAAAAGAAGACTATAGAGAAGAGAGTGAAATAGCGGCATGGTACTGAAGCCGTGTATGTTCTACTAGGAACCCAAGAGACAAATAATAACAAAAGTAACTTTTGTCTGTTCTTTCATTTGTCTCATATGTATAATTGTTTTGTTCTTTTTCATAAGTTGTTGGATCGTATTGCTGCGACAACTATTAATTTCTCTGGTGCTGATCTTAAAGCGTTGACTACAGAGGCCTGTTTATGTTGTCTACGTAGATGTTATCCTCAAGTGTATAATAGTCATGTGAAATTAGCTTTGGAGCATAAATATTTAGTGGTAAATCTTTATTATTTTCACCTTTTTTCTAATTGTCAAGTTATTATTTTAATGTTATATATATATAGTGTAAAGTGTATTACGATTTTTTGTTTATGTTCATTACCTTCATAATTCCCATTGTATGATATCGAACACAAGATATTCAGCGAAGAGGAGGACTCTTTTCAACGAGTTTATTCTCAATCTGTACCTTCGTATATATATGTATATGATATTTAAAGACTGTAATCCTTGAGGAAGATTTAACTGAAATAATAGAGGGGGGGAAGGGTTGAAACAATAATAATGATGGTGGTGATAATTATAATGTTGATAGTTGATGACGTTAAAGGTGGAATGGTGACAAAAAAGGATTACGTAAGACTTTCGAATTGCTTGTAAATGAATATAGATTGAAAAAGACGGTTAGAACGTTAATAAACAATCAAAGATGATTAGGTAATTGAAGTAAATTGAAAATGTTTTGGTTAATAGTTACGATAATTAGGAAGATCAAATGAAATAATACCGTAAACAAATGATTACAAAAAACAGAGTGATAATGACGATATAAGAGTACAGAGATTAATCTGATAAAAAAGTGGGAAGGGGGTGAAAAATGAAAAAAGGATGAAGCCCACCAAGACTAAGGTAGAGACAAAGACTGTACGTACTTCTTTTGTACACAAAGATTAGTCAGGCTTGAGTTCATGGATAGCCAAGGCCTCTGCTGTTTTAAAAAGTTGAACACGTAGGAAACGTGAAGTGTTAAGGCGAGTTCGATAGACAACCTTGAAATCCTTGTTTGGGTCGGTTGAATGGTTGGAATCGATTAAATGTTCAAGGATAGAACTTCTGATACATTTACTTTGACCCTTATAAAACCAGCCGGAATATGTTCTCGTATACGTGTTGACAGCAATCTCTGATTACGGCCGATGTATCTTGCTCTACAGGAGCAGGTGAACTGGTAGATACACATAGATGTGTCCTGTTGAGGGATATTGTCTTTAATATAAACGGAGAACAATTTACGACTGGTAAAGATCAGGTAAAGTTTTGCTACGAAAAACGTCTTACTAATTGATCTGTAAAGACGATTTTTCAGGATATCTGATGCTGCATCACCTTTGAAGTCCAGGTTCATGAACAAAGTCTTTTTTCAAACTGAGCTAGTGATTAGTTTCGCATGTGTTTCTTGCATATTCTTATCGACAAATCGGCTAGGATAGCCGTTTTCCTCGAGCGTCCGTTTTAGAAAGTCAAGTTCAATTTGAACACATTCCGTGCTACAAATATTACGTATTCGATGGCACAGTGAGCTGATGAAGTTTCTCTTCCTCATGATCGGCACTGAGCTATAGCAATTGGTGAGTTGTCCATTCTATATGGGTTTCCTGTAAATGGATCTTTTCAGCGTTCTATTGCTACGCCTCGTAATCAGTATGTCAAGGAAAAGAATAGCTGATTCCAATTCCTTCTCAATAGTGAATTCCAACGCTGAGTGACAATTGTTAAACTCAGGTAGGATGTCATTCAGATCGATTGTTGAGTCTCAAATAACGAATATATCATCTATATATCGTTTATAGATGTTAAAATGCCTAATGCTTTTGGCTTAGAATAGAAAATGCGTTGTAAACTCAACCTTTTACGATCAGACTAACGTTGCAACGTCGTCAAAGATGTCCCAGATTGATGTATGCCATTCTGGCTTTTATCACTCATACTTAAACTGGCACCATTACAACTGCCTAGATACACGAATTTTCCGACTACATCTAATGGCTTAGCACCAAGGGTGAGCGCAGGCACAGTGTACTATTAATCTTGTATAAACACTTCAATGGTGAGAAGTCTTGAAGGCAAATTACCCTAAAGTGTATCAAATACGATTAGCTATTTGGCTTAGGCAGATGATTTCCAACCAATAAGTCATGAATTAGAACATCTCTCTTACCTACTGAAGTTTTAGCGGCCTAGTGGTATTATTACCTCTCATACAATTGATGTATGGCACATTGCTTACTGAAGTGAAGACAGGAGTGAAACAAGGTTGCCTACTATCCCCCATGATATTCCTGATTGTGGTGGACTGGATCATGCAGCAAACAGTGGGGAGCGATAAGAGGGGGATACGCTGGACTGCGGAAAAGAACCTAGAAGACTTGGATTTCGCCGATGACTTGTGCCTGATGTCACACACACTTGACGATCTACAGGCGGAAACTAACAAGTTGACAGAAGAGGCACGAAGACGGGACTTCAAGTGAATATAGAGAAGAGAGAGGTGATGAAGATACCGCACCACCACCATCAACAACAACAACAAACTCCAGTCACCATCAACGGGAGAAACTTAAAGGAAGTAACCTCCTTCACCTATCTAGGAAGCACTGTTTCAACTACAGGCGGGACAGGCACAGACGAGGATGTCAAAGTCAGAATCGGAAAAGCAAGACAGGCGTTCATTAGCCTGAAACCAGTGTGGAGATCTTCAGCATAAAGCGTGAACAAGATCCGGATTCTCAACACCAACCCAGTCAAGTCAGTGCTTCTGTATGGTTGAGAGACTTGGCGTGTTACGAAAGGGATTTCCAATAAACTACAGACATTCATCAACAACTGGGAACTGGGAACAAGCCAACCAAGAACCTATCACCCAACAAATATGCAATGGAAGGAAGTGGAGATGGATTGGGCATGCACTGAGAAGGCCGACTGGGGACATCACGCGTCAGGCCAGGATATCGAGTGGAATCCCCATGGGAAGCGACGAGTTGGGTATCCGAGGCGAGGGTGACATGGAGGAGATCTTGCGAAGAGGAAATGAGAGCTTCTGGGCTGTCATGGAACCAGGTTCAAAAGATCTCAGAGAACAGAGGTCACTGGAGGCGTGCTACTGAAGCCCTATGTTCCACTAGGAACCCAAGGGACTAATAATAATAATAATAATAATAATAATAATAATAATAATAACATTGCTTACTGTACGAATATGTGATTTCTATGTCAATTTTTTTGAGGTGGAAAAAAGTTGCATGGAATGACCACTAGTGACATGGCGTGTTACTTCATATAGTCCTCGTGGATATGCTGTACAATACTGTCAATGGTTCCCTAACTGATTATAATTGCTCCTTTTTTAAAAAATATTATTTTTGATTCCTTCATCCTTTTTAGGTTAGTCATTCTGATTGGTTTGAAGCTTTACAAATTGTTTGTGCTTCAGGTGAACGTTGTAATGCAAATTCATTTGCTTCTAATTTAACTCCATCTGCTAATGCTTTAGCTGCTACTATACGTACACCTTTATCTCCAAATTTATCTAAATTATTAATGAATAATGTAGATCAGATTGTTTATTATTTGAAGAGAGCATTATTCAATCCTAGATATGATATAAACAATTCAATGGATACTAATAAATCGTTAACATCACAGGATATATCATCATATATTTTCAAATCAAAACTTTTCATCAATGGTAATATATCGGATACGATTATGAATGCTGTATGGTATAAATTAGAAACATTACAAGTAAGTTTATTCATGAAATATCTTATTCTTTATGAGTTATCGCGCTTATTATATTTTTTGCGCCACTCCACAGGTTTATGGGTGCGTACTGCTGAACAGTCCTATTTTATTATAATTATTGTATTTGTCTCTTAGGTTCCTAATGGAACATAGGGCTTCAGTAACATGTCTCCATTACACTCACTCTCTTCTCTGTAATCTTATCAATCTGGCTACACGACAGCCCAAAAGCTGTCATCTCTTCTTCACATGATCTCCTCTATGTCACTCTCGCCTCGGACACCCAACTCGTCGTTTCCTATCTGACTTCCACTCGAGTGCCTGTCCTGGTCCCGACCGATAGCTGCTACCTTGACGTGGTGGTCGGGCTTGCATATCACAATGACCCAACGAGCTATGCTGGTGGAACGCTTGTTCCCTCGAGGTCCTACCATACCAGAAAGGTCTGTTGGGTAGTGGTTAGACGAAAAGCAGTTACCGTCATAGTGTAAATTGCTATACTATGATGGGGGTCTGAGGGCGAAGTCGTACTGCTGCTAGCTGGATGGGGTGTGACAGCAGTAAGGTGTTTCCCTTGGATGACCAGCAGTGCCAAGCTGATGCTGCCTTCTCAGTGGAAGGGGGGGTTAGAAAAGGTCGGCCCCAAAAATAACACACTCCACCACGCCCCACGGTCTGCCGGGCCGGCGGTGTTGGTTCACTTGTCGTTTCCTTTCGCTCATCCGGCCCCAAAAATACAAAAATTCAAAATAATCATACTCAAAAGGCTGGGTGTGACAGGCCTCAAGCAGATGTCCGATGGGCTCTGCGGTCACACAAATCTCTTTCAGGTACCTTAAGAAGAAATAGCCTTCCACGGTGTGGGCAGCCGGGAAGTGTCAACCGCCCTCACAACTCTGTCAGCACCCAAGTTTCTTCTGACTGCTATCCTCCTCCTCCATCATTACCTTCTAATCTTCCTTCACGTCTCTTAATTAATGATGCTGCATCATCTTCAATTTCTCCTACCTCTGCAGCCTTCGACAACGATCTGAGTCCACAGAACAGCATCCCTGGTCTCCTTAAACCACGCTCCAAATTACATATTGGAGCCTTCAATGTCCGCACCCTCCGTCAAATTGGCCAACAGGCTTCGTTGGCAAAGACTCTAGCAACTCGAGGCATGGATGTGTGCTGTGTTTGTGAGACACGCATACAGGACCCAAGTGTGGTTATTCACCTGACCTCTCCTGACCAATCTGGTGAATCTGCAAAATTCACCCTTCGAGTTTCTGGAGATTCGATAGCTAGCTCTCGTGGTCTTGCAGGTGTAGGTATAGCATTAAGCACCAGGGCAGAAAACTCACTACTAGACTGGATCCCAGTTGATAGTCGCCTCTGCGCTATGAGGCTGAACGGCACAGTGAGAACTAAAAGGAATAGTGAGACTCGCCGTTGTCTCTTTGTAATCTCTGCTTACGCACCCACTGACTGTAGTTCGGATGAAGTGAAGGACGAGTTCTACCATAAACTGTCTAACCTCCTCTCGAAAGCCAAACGTTCGGACGTAGTGGTTGTTGCAGGTGACCTCAACGCACAGGTGGGTAGACTGAGTGAGGCAGAAAGGCACTTAGGTGGCACTTTCGGAATCCCAGCTGAACGTACAGATAACGGTGATCGCCTATTACAACTATGCTCAGATAACCGCCTATTTTTAGCCAGCACAAATTTCAGACATAAAGAAAGGCACTGTCTGACCTGGCGTCCACCGAGCTCGACTCAGCGATGGACACAGATAGACCACATTGCTATTAGTCATCGCTGGAGAGGATCGGTGGAAGACTGCCGCTCCTTCTGGAGTACGTGTTTGGACAGCGATCATGCGTTGGTCCGAGCACGTATATGCCTGCGTCTCAATGGACGTAGAAAAAATTTGGCAACAAAACCACTACGAGTTCTGCTGGACAACGAAAACACCAAAGCCGTGTTCAGTGAGAAGTTGGCTAGGCAGTTATCGGAACAAAAGACTGTCACTCATCCAGAAGAAGCTTGGTGCCATCTTCAGTCTACTGTAAAAGCAGCACTGGAGACTGTAGCCGACTCCAAGATAATGGCTAAAAAGAGCCAGTGGATATCAGCAGCTTCTTCCAAACTAATGGATGCACGTGAATGCATCCCTGCAGGCTCTGAGTACAATGAAGAGCGAGCGCAACTTAAAAATAAACTGACGAAAAGTCTGCGCAACGATCGTGAACAGTGGTGGGCAGCAAAGGCTAAAGAGATGGAAAAGGCAGCGGCGATCGGTAACAGTAGACAGTTATTTAGACTTATTAAGGAGACTGGGGGGAAATGGTCAACAACAGTTAGTGAGGTTATAGCGGAGAAGGACGGATCGGCGATTCACTCGCAGGGAAGGCGACTGGGACGATGGGCAGAACACTTTGAGGAACAGTTTAACTGGCCTCCAGCCACCATTGCGCTGCCCGCTATCCAGTCGGACCCTGAATGGGACATAGAGACAGGTCCCCCAACACTAGAAGAAGTTGAGAAAGCGGTAGGTAGCCTGAAACGGGGAAGGGCAGCAGGACCAGACGGACTACCTGCTGAGGTATACAAGAATGGTGGTAGAGTTCTCTTAGTCAGGCTAACGGAAGTGTTAGCCAGTATATGGGAATCAAATACGATCCCCTCCGACTGGTCTAAGTCACTGATCATCCCAGTCTTCAAGAAAGGCGAGAAGTCCTCTTGTGATAACCACAGAGGAATCAGCCTGACAAACATAGTGTCTAAGATCCTAAGTTCTATAATTCTCCGACGCCTGAGTGGAGCTCGGGAACAGCAAGCCCGAGAAAACCAGGCAGGCTTTAGACCTGGCCGTGGATGTATCGACCAAATATTCACACTGCGCCAGGTCCTGGAACATAGGCATGCTTACAGACGCCCGACAATAGCTGTATTTCTCGACCTGAAGGCGGCATTTGACTCCGTTGATCGAGAAGTCTTATGGCAGTGTCTGTCACTGAAAGGCGTGCCTAGTAAGTACATCACCTTATTGAAAGCTCTCTACTCGAACACTTGTGGGCATGTTAGAGCCTATGGTGAGTTGTCCAGGGAGCTATACTCATCAAGTGGTGTCCGTCAAGGATGCCCACTATCCCCATTCTTATTTAATTTTATCATAGATATTCTTATGGAGGTTTCCCTCTCGTCACCTAATTACAAAGACGTTGACCGGATCACAGGTGAATTTTCCTTAGATCTAGAATATGCAGATGACATAGTCCTGTTAGGTGAAGACGCTGACAAGATGCAGAGTCTTCTGAACACTTTGAGTGGGAATTTGAGAATGTTTGGGATGCGATTTTCACCACCCAAATGCAAATTTTTGCTCCAGGACTGGTCTTCAGCGGTACCGCGGTTAACAATAGAGAGTGAAGTGGTTGAGTGTGTTGACCACTTCACTTACCTGGGAAGTAGGATCAACTCCGGTGGGTTAGTTGCCGATGAGATTTCTGCACGGATACAAAAGGCTCGATTGGCTTTTGCCAATTTGCGCCACCTATGGCGCCGCCGTGATATTCGTTTGTCTATTAAGGGTCGCGTGTACTGCACAGCAGTCCGCTCTGTTCTACTGTATGGCTGTGAAACATGGCCATTGAAAGTGGAAGACATGAGAAGGTTACAGGTATTTGACCACCGTTGCCTTCGTAGTATAGGACGTATTCCGTGGTGTCACCATGTGAGTAATGCAGAAGTTAGGTGTAGAGTTTTAGGGAGAAGAGGTAAGTCAGTCGACGAGGTTGTGAACCTTCATCGACTGAGATGGTTGGGACACGTACTACGTATGCCTAGTCACCGATTGCCTCGTCACACAATGTTGGCTGAGGTGGGTTCAGGCTGGAAAAAGGCCCGAGGTGGCCAGACTAAAACATGGCACCAATGTATGAAGTCTCTGACTGTTGGTTTAAGCCATGTAGGACGATGCAGACTAGGTGGTTGGGGTCCACGGGACAAGAGGAACCAGTGGTTGGAGACCCTAGGTGATATGGCTCAGAACCGAAGTCAGTGGCGCAGATGTATACACACATTATCCTCATCTTAACAACGCTATACCGAATCTCACTATTTTGTCACTCCTCTTTCCTTTCTTCTCATACTTTATATTTCTTTTGACTGCATTCACTTATCTTCATCCTTCACCTCACTACCTTTTTACTTGATGTGCTGATATGAGGTGTGGCAACTCGGACCGTTACGCAGTAATGCCTGGTCCTATGTTGATAATGATGATGATGATGATGCCTGTCCTGGTGGGTGATGTCCCCAAATGGTCTTTTCAGTGTATGCTGAATACATCTCCACTTCCTTCCACTGAATATTTGTTGAGTGATAGGTTCTTGCTTTGTTGGTTCGTTGCCAGCCAGCTAGAGTTCTTTGTTGCTTATTCTCATTATTCTGGCCATCTGATCTTCAGTAACGAGCCAGCGTAGGCGGCAGTTGCTGATGAATATCTGTAGTTTGTTGGAAATCCCTTTCGTAACACGCCAGGTCTCTGAGCCGTACAGAAGCACTGACTTGACTAGCATTGGTGTTGAAAATCCCGATGTTGTTCACGCTTTATGCTGAGTGCAGTGCTGAAGATCTCCACACTGGTTTCAGGCTAATGAACGCCTGTCTCGCTTTTCCGACCCTGGTTTTGACATCTTCGTCTGTGCCACCACCTGTAGTCGAAACGATGCTGCCCTGACTACATAGGTGAAAGAGACTACTTCCTTTGGGTTTCTTCCATTGATGGTGATTGCTGCTTGTTGTTTTTGTTGGTTGGGTATCATCATCACCTCTGTCTTCTGTACGTTCACTTGAAGTCCTGTCTTCGCTGCCTCTTCTGAAGAGTCCTATGCTAGGATGAAATAGCTGTTCAGTTGTTCCAGTTTTTCAGTGTTCATTCAATTGATATCATTCCATGATGAATACCAACTTGAATGTTGATTTCCCATCATACATAGGAAATTAATTATGCATAATACTGCAGTTCGTTCTGTTCTGCGTTCGTTGCATTGCTATGGATCACCGTACTAACAATTTTGAGTTCAGTAGAAAAGAATTTGGTTAATGAAGTTTTGAATCTTAGTCGACTGAGGGTGGTTGGACATGTGCTGCACACACTGAGCCACTGCTTACTTCGATATACCATACTCTAGGGGAAGTTGAATTAGGTTGACAAGGCAGCCCAACTAACTAACCTTCGTCCTTTGTCAGCTGTAGCTAGTTTTTTTTAAAACTCCCTTACGCAAGCCTGCTACTTCCGTTTTATCACGTCATGTAATTACAGTCTAAAGGTTTGATGGCTATGAATTTGTCCATGAGGCAAGTTTATGTATAAGTGTGTATCCATTTAGTACTTGAGCGAGCACACTGAGTTTTGTCATATTCAGAGAAAAAATTATTTCTGTAGACTGGAACATTGGAAGCCTATAATCTGATAAAAATTAATAGGTATATGATACTTTCCTACCGTGGGGGTAGAGGTGGAGATCAGTTGTCTAAACACTTCATTATCAGATGATGGATTGTAGGTTCGAACCCCACTCCATCTACCGAGGTTTGGCCAGCCAGATAGTATAATTAACCATCAGAAAATAGTTGTTTTTATTACTATTATTGGTCTCTTGGGTTCCTAGTGGAACATATGGCGTCAGTAGCATGTCGCCATTTCACTCTGTTCTCTGCAGTTTCCTCAACGTGGCTGCAGGACTGACCATAAACTTTCATTTCTTCTTCACACTGTCTCATCCATGTCACCCTCCCTTCGGACACCCAACTCATCGTTTCCTATCTGACTTCCACTCGAGTGCCTGTCCTGGCGGGTGATGTCCCCAAATGGCCTTCTCAGTGCATGCCCAATCCATCTCCACTTCCTTCCACTGAATATTTGTTGAGTGATAGGTTCTTGCTTTGTTGGTTCGTTGCCAGCCAGCTAGAGTTCTTTGTTGCTTATTCTCATTATTCTGGTCATCTGAGCTTCAGTGATGAGCCAGCGTAGGCGGCAGTTGTTGATGAATATCTATAGTTTGTTGGAAGTGCTTTTCGTGACATGCCAAGTCTCTAAACCATCACATGGAAGCACTGACTTGACTAGCATTGGTGTTGAAAATCCCGACGTCGTTCACGCTCTATCCTGAGTGCGGTGCAGTGCAGTGCAGTAGATCTCCACACTGATTTCAGATTATTGCAAGAAGGCCTGTCTTACTGTCTTTCCAATGGTCGTTGGCTTCGACATCCTAATCTGTGCCACCACTACCTGTAGCTGTAACGATGCTGTCTAGGCAAGTAGGTAGGTGAGAGAGACTACGTCGTTTAGGTTTCTCCCGTTGATGATGACTCGTGCTTGTTGTTCATACTGTTGTTGTTGTTGTTGGTTGGGTATCTTCATCACCTGAAGGAAGTCCCGGCTTCACTGCCTCACCTCTTCTGTCAACCTGTTAGTCTTCGCCTGTAGATCTTCGAGTTTGTGTGGCAGGATATTCGACAAAAACCATCATCGGGGGCGAAATCCAAATCTTCTAGTGTCATTATGTTTTCGTCGGTCAAACAGCGTATGCTCATCCTCTCACAGCCCTCACAGTTGTTTGTTTCATGATCCAGTCGAGTCGAGTCGACCACAATCAGGAAGACCATCGGTGATAGTAGGCAAATTTGTCTTACTCCTGCATGTCTTCACTTTAAAAGCATCACTGAGCTTTCCATTGTGAATCACTTGTCATATGGCGTCGTCATATAACTGTTGAATGAGGTTGATAAAGGTGTGTGGCTCTAAAATCGTTATATTGAAGCAGCTGCCAAATTATTTGTAATGGTACCTAATATTTTCCGTTGGTATGCAGGGCTTGAATTGCTCAACCTCTATCGGTATATTGACTCTTATACAGATATATCTCAATATTGCCTAAATATTTATTATGATAATTTTCACTTGATTTTGGCTAACAGAAGAGTCATGAACTCTTTGTCAATACTTTCAGAACTATTGTCTATGAGTTATTTTTGAATTTTGAAGGAGTTGTACAGATTTAGAAGAGGAACAAAAGAAGTTTGGGAATACTGGACATCTATTTCATCCAACTAGGTTAGGACTGCTTAGCAGTGCGCATCCATGACCTTGTCAGGGGTCGAACCCATGACCTTCAGTTTCTATGGCCAGCAAGTTACTATTGAGCCACTGGGGTCAGCAGAATCCAATTGTTCATATATATATATATATATATATATATATATATATATATATATATATATATATATATATTCATTATCCTCCTCCTTCCTTTTATCTTTTCATTTTCAAGGTGTTTACAATAAATTTAGCCAATTTATTTGCTTTTCCTACAAGTATTGGAATGTGTCCTGAAGCAGCTGTTGCTCAAATAATTTCATCTATTCGACATACAGTTAAAAATTCATCATCATATTCATTTAAATCTAATCTAACTGGAGTAATTATCTATTTACCTTGTATTGATATACTAATTGAAAGTATTCCACAATTAACAGCAAATTATTTTATTGATAATTTAATTGCTTTATTAAATGAAATAAATTGTGAATTAAATTATATTCCATCATTTTTTAATACATTACAAACTACTACTAATGATTTAAATGATAGTATAATTAATAAACAAAAATTATTATATGCTACATTAAGAAGTTCATGTCGAATTGTTATTGTTGGTACATGTACACATCGACAACGATATACATCTACTACTATTAATTCATCTAAACAACAATATAATTCTAATCTTATCAATACAAAAACCTATACATCAATATATCCATCATTTTTTGATAAATTACAAGGTAAATTTTGAGGGGTTTGTGGAGATTTGGAAATATTTCAAGTTGTTATTCATCGAAGACTGACATCAGTTGGAGGAAGAAAGGAAACCTGGGAGCACTGGACAGCTGTTTCGTCAGACTAGTATGGGACTCCTCAGTAGTGCGCACCCACGACCCCGCCAGCAGGGATCGAACCCGCGCTGGTCGCGGAACCTGAAGGTCGCGGGTTCGATCCCTGCTGGTGGGGTCGTGGGTGCGCACTACTGAGGAGTCCCATACTAGGACGAAACAGCTGTCCAGTGCTCCCAGGTTTCCTTTGTTCCTCCAACTACTGATGTCAGTCTTCGATGAATAACAACTTGAAATTACAAGGTAATTTATCAGTAATTATACATTTATTTTCTCTTTTCTTTCTTTGTTATTAACTTCAATTGAATTAAAGATTATTATCATTTGTTGTTATCTTACTCCCTTCCTTATCAATTATTTAACAGTATAATCTTATAATAATTTAGTTGATTGTGACTAGCAGAGGAATTCAAGATGAGCTTTACATCCTATTTGGGAGTCGTCCATCCCAGTCAGTGATGTTATTCCCTACTGAGACTGAAACCTTTATACCGATCGCTTCAAACACTGAGGTGTCGTTATCCACTATGCTATGGAGGAACTATATCCACTTCATTAACAATGGCATAGTGAATAACGCTTTAGTGTTTGAAGCTATGGTTATGAGGTTCAAGTCTTAGTGGGAACAATATCATTGAGGTGCAGATACATCCAGCTGATGAGTCTCAAACAGGACTAAAAGTGCATGTTGGATTCCTCTGCTAGTCATAACCAACTAAATTACCATCATTGACATTTAGACAATATCTAGGCATTCGCATATCAACCCATATGCCAATAGAGGTCGAACAATTGGATCCAATAAAAAAAGCAACGGAGAATTACAAGCATCATCTTCCTTCGAATCACATCGTAACCAATCAAAATTCCATGATTTATCATAATTTCATTTTTTTTGTAGTAGTTGGATTATTTTTTCCCCTTGAATAGCCATCTCAAGTTTGAGGATGGATTTATACTGTCGACTGTATTACAGTTTAATACCAATATGATTGTTTTTGAAGGATAATCAGCTTGTCGACCATGAAAGTAATGACTCTTGTTATCTTATGAACTTGGTTTACTGTCGGTTTTTGGTTTGTTATGAGGTCAACAGTTAACATGCGAAGAGCCTAGTTTATTAGAAAACGATATATCAGGGACTATTAGGAGATGACCAGAATATATAAATGGATGCTGAAAGTCGAATCTGTAATAATTAAGGTATTGTAAATATTTAGAAGTAGTATTCATCATGGACAGACATCAGTTGGGGAACCATTGAAAATCTAAGAGCACTGGACAGCTGTTTCGTCCTACTATGGGACTCCTCAGCAGTACGCTAGGGGTCGGACTCAGGACCTTCAGGTTTCACGGCGAACGCGTTGACTATTCAGCCACTGGGTTGGTTGCCGGTGGTTCACAATTTCCAACTTCTGTCAAAACCTGAAGGTCCTGAGTTCGACCCCCTAGCCGGGTTGTGGGTGCGTACTGCTGAGGAGTCCCATACTAAGACGAAAAAGCTGTCCAGTGCTCCCAGATTTTCAATGGTTCCCCAACTGATGTCTGTCCATGATGAATACTACTTCTAATTTAAAAATCCCCATTCATCTCAAAATATATTGTAAATATTATTTGATGTTCTTTCATGAATGTTCCGAGCTATGTGAACAATGAATGATCTGGTATGCAAGCAAATGGTGGTTGAATTCATTATGCCTTCTCCTGGCAAGTTTCGAGATTAGGCCTTTGTAAAGAAATAATCTCAGAACTTTATCTATACACAGGGGCAAATATATGGTGTAATACCTTTCATATTTGATATGAGAACTGTTCAGTTAGTAAACTCTTGAGACTATGACGGCGACGATAAATCAATAATTCAATCCGGAGGTTTGTGGAGAATTTACTAGTTGATTTCAGGTTGGAATTTATCACGGACTAATATCAATTGGAGGGAGGAACAATGAAAACCTGAGAGCACTGGGACACCTATTTCGTCCGACTAGTACGGGTCTCCTCGGCAGTGTGCACCCATAACCTTCAGGTTTCATGATGATGAGCAGCTAGCTACTGGGTCGGAATCCAATAATTCATATTTCCAACTTTTTTCAGTTCATGACATAGCGCGACCATCATCAAATGTCATCGTTGAATCTCTGTCCTTATGTTCAACGTGGTTGGGACTTGGGGAATAACCTGTCGAAGCTATTCACTAGTGAGTGCCAGACCTAAAGATTTTGAGTTCGATCTTGGAGCAGGTGGAGTGGGATTATAGGTGCCCACTGCTGAGGAGTCTTATCATCTTTGTTGGTACTCGTCAACTGCAAACAATTATGCTAATAACATTTTAAAATTATGAATTAGTCTATAGTACAGTATTCATATTCTTTTAATAATTTCAGAAGGAAAATGTCAAACTACTAATGGAATCTGTGTATCAAATGAATCATCATCATCATCACCATTAATTCATATAAAATCTTCATCGAATTCCATTACACCTACAGTTCATTGTGTTAACAATATTACACCAATAATGAAATATGCATATAATCAAGAATTAGCTAAAATTCAATTACAATTTACTATTCATTTATCTGATTATTATAAAAATCCTTTACAATTACATTCTAATTCTATTCCAATTACTGAAAATTTAACTATTGATGAAAAAAATAACACAAATATTCATTCTTCAGAATATACTACTGATATCAATGATGATGATGATGACTGTGAAAGAAATTTAAACCGTCAAAATTCTTCTCACTCAAATGTAAATAGTATACTGAGTAAACTCTTTGATAATAATCATACAGAGTTTATAAATTTAAAACCACCGAATAAAGATGAACGTTATTCATTCTTTTATTCTGTGTTAATTGATTGGCCTCAGTTAACATATTTACAGTTATTGGATATTCGTGAAAAATCGGTTAATTCATCTGATAGACATATGTAAGTTTTATTATATTATCTATCCCAATCTTTACACTGTTATCGTTTTATTACCAATAAATATTTAAATTATCCTCTATTATATGTATCTCTAAGGGTTAGATAATGGTGTAGAGTATACCGGTAAGTTGATTGAGAAGGTTAGTTGTCTTAGAAATACTTCGATATATGTAGAAAACATACCCAACTACTACATATCTTGATGAGCCGTGAGCTAAGAGGAGTTGGATTAGGGATGGGAAAGGTTTCATGTTGGCCAAACGAAGATATGATACCAGTCGATGAAGTATCTGATTGTTGGTTTGAGCCATATGCGGAAGCGGGGTGGGTGGGTGTAGACTGCCTGATTCTTTTGTATACTTCTCTGGATTGTGGCACCTTGAAGTGATGAACTTGTGTTTATGTGTTAAGTTCTACGTTGATTATGTCATTCAGCCATGTTGCATTCCTACTAGGATTCAAATGCGCTAACTGTCCATACTGTAACAGTGAAGTGTGGCAACTTCAGACGATGTACTCCTGTGTGAAGTGGTGGTTCTATATTGATTCTGTCAATGAGTCATTCAGGAGAGCTTCTTCACACTCTTAGTGTTTAGTTTATTGCCTACTGGACAAGCGTGCACAGGGTTGCTGAGTGCATTTTAATCGATTCGTATGTTAAGCATCCAGTGTTGTTGTGTGAATCACGGCTATTATTGAATGCAAAGGAAATGACCAGTGGTTACCTTCATGGCATAGATTCTGTGTCATGATGTCACCATATCAGTGACGTAGACGTCTAGAGTAGAGTTTAAGGTAAAATAAACTAATCGATATGTAAGATCCAGTCTCCATCGATTGATATGGCTAGTATATGTGTACACATGGCTTGTCATTATATACCCTGTCATACAGTATTATCTGAAGTGAAAGACGACTGTGAAAAATGGTTATAGCTAACTGAACGGAAATATTCTATTATAATTATTACTGTTATTATATTATTTATCACTTGGATTCCTAATGGAACATACCGCTTCAGTAGCACATCTCCATTACACTCACTCTCTTCTCTGCACTCTTTCAATCTCGCTCCACAACTGCCCACAAGCTCTCATTTCTTCCTCACACCATATACTCCATGTAAACCTCACCTTGAACGCCCAACTCGATGTTTCCCATCTGACTTCCACTCGAGTACCTGAACTGGCCTGGCACGTGATGTCACCAGTCCGTCTTCTCAGAATATGCCCAATCCATCTACACTTCCTTCCACTGAACATTTGTTGGGTAATAGGTTCTTGCTTCGTTGGTTCGTTGCTAGCCAGCCAACCAGCCAGCCAGCCAGAGTTCCTTGTTGCTAGGTTCAAACATAGTGCGGACATTCCATGTCCTCATTCTTGCTTTCTCTTTCATCAAGAGGAGACACATCGGCCAACTGGCTTCCCGAAAGCTTTCACCACCCGGCGTCATTTCGTCTCTCCGATTCCAGCGAGGAATAATTTTTTTAATTTTTTCTATTTTCCTTGTGCTTTGAAGTTTTTTTAGCGGTTGGATTGGTTTTCCAGGGTAGGGTTGCTAGCCCTACGCCCAACCTTCTCTCTTTTTCCGTGCTAAGAGCCGGCTAGTAACTTGTGAACTAGTTAACCAGGCGAGGTTATAAGTTTCCGTAAGTTTTGTTTATTAATGTTATTGCCCCTGCTCGGATGATTCGATATTCTCTTGTGTTTCAGTTGTTTATAAAGGATGTATATAGTGACTATACCTGTTGCGTAAGAAGTAAATAGCTCTGTGGTGTTGTTTCAAGCAATCGGTCCCCATTTAGAGTCTTTGTGGGATGAATATTACTCACTAGGAGAAGTCAAGTACATTCAGGTGATAAGTCGAAAATAGGACGAGCGTCCACCTGGATTCCACTACTAACCACTATCTAATTATTTCCGTATTACTCTATCTTTCCTCTTCGTGTTTCCGTCTTGTGTTGATTTTTGTCGTGGGAACTTCAATTGTTTTTCAGTAATCACATATGCAGTGGTTAAATGAAAAGTTTTCGGAAGAAAATAATTCTGGAGAATAGTACTGTGGAAAAAAACTGAATTATCATTTGACTATCTGAGATAGCCATAGTTTGGCAGTTTGGTATATCTACTGGGTGATGATGATTACAGATCAAATAAAAATTTGAACCGCAAGGGGATTCGAACAAGCGACCATTGGGTTTTCGACCCGATGCTCTGTCAACTGATCTACGAGTTTCGACTGTTAACCAGATTTTTATTTCACATCAATCGGAAGGAGGGTTTTGCTATCGGTTGGTCACTGGTTCGAATCCCACCGTGGTTCAAATTTTCACTTCACCTTCTACCCACCACTCAATATAAAAACTGCATTGTCATCTTATATCATGAAAGCAATTATTTCTGTAAGTAGAACATCTTAAAAACAATTTCATTCTGTTATATAATGTAATTCAGGAGGATGGTGAAGTAGGAGATAAACCAGTGCAAGGATGAACGACGAAAACAGGAACTGAGTACAACGTATAAAACACTGGACAAAGAAGTGAAGAAGAGTCCACGCAAAGACAATAGACACTTCTACGAAACACTGGCAAGTGAAACAGAACGGGCTGCTGCAGTTAGGAGAGACCTGACAACATTGTATCAAATAACCAGGTTACTACCTGGGAGGGAAGAGATCAACACAGATGAAACCAATAAAAGATGATGGAAGAAATCTCATTACCAAAGAAGAGAAACAAAGGAAACGATAGGCTGACAACTTCAAAAAGCTCTTGAATCGATAATCACCTGCACTTCGTCCAGAAATACCACCTGCAGCCCAGCCACAGAACTACTAGTGAACACAAGCCCTCCGAGGAAAGTCGAAGTCCTGAACGTCACACCAGAAGGCTGCTGAGATGCGGAAAAGCAGCAGGACCAGATGGAATCCCACTAGAAGCACTGAGAGCAGACGCAGAGACAACAGCGGACATGCTGACACCATTATTGCAGAAGGTGTGGAAGGAGGGAAAGGTAGCTGCCTATTGATGGGAAGAAATGGTTCCTTGTCAAACTCCCAAAAAGGGAGACCTCAGTGTTTGCAAGAACTGGCGCGGAATCATGCTGCTGTCCACCGAAAGCAAGCAAAATATTAAGCCGCATCATCCTGGAGAGACTAAAAGATGCTCTGGATTCAAAACTACGACCAGAACAGGCTGGCTGGCTGGCTGGCTACGCTAAGCTACGCATCATCATAGAACAGAGTATAGAATAGCAGTCAACTCTCTACCTGAAATTCATCGACTTCGAAAAGGCCTTCGACAGCGTCGACCGAGAAGCAATTTAGTAGGCAGTTGCTTCAACACTACGGAATACCACAAACCTTTATCAACTTCATTCAACAACTATATGAAGACGCCATATGGTAAGTATTGACAATGGGAAGCTGAATGATGCATTTGAAGTGAAGACAAGGTGGAGTGAAACACGATTGTCTACTATCACCGATGATCCCCCTGATTGTGTTGTGGTGGACTGGATCATGCAGCAAACAACTGTGAGGAGCGAGAAGAGGGAGATACGCTTGACCGGGAAAATATAGGAGATTTGGATTTCTCTGATGACTTGTGTCTAATGTGACACAAACTCGAGATGTACAGGTGAAAACTAACAAGTTGACAGAGGGGGTAGGACAGCGGAAACAGGACTTCAAGTGAATGTAGAGAAGACGGAGTTGATAAAGATACCCAACGAACAACAGCATCAACGAATCACCATCAACTGGAGAAACTTGAAGGAAGTGCCTCTTTCACCTATGTGGGCAGCATCGTTTGAACTGCGGGCAGCAAAGACACACATGACGATGTCAAAATCAGAATCGAAGAAGCGGAAGAGGCTTTCACTGATGTGAAATGAGTGTGGAGATCTTCTGCACTGCACTGCACTGTACTCAGCATGAAGCGTGAATATGATGCGGATTTTCAACACGAACGCCAGTGAAGTCAGTGCTTCTGTATGACTGAGAGACTTAGTGCGTTACGAAAGGGATTTCCAACCAACTACAGATATTGATCAACAACTGCCGCCTACGCTGTCTCGTTACTGAAGATCAGATGACCAGAATAATAAGAATGAGCAAAAAGAACTCTGGTGGCTGGCTGGTTGGCTGGCAACGAAGCATCAAAGCAAGAAGCTATTACCGAAGAAATATTCATTGGAAGGAAGTGTAGATGGATTGGGCATATTCTGAGAAGACGGACTGGTGACATCACGTGCCAGGCCAGTTCAGGTACTCGAGTGGAAGTCAGATGGGAAACATCGAGTTGGGCGTTCAAGGTGAGGTTTACATGGAGTATATGGTGTGAAGAAGAAATGAGAGCTTGTGGGCAGTTGTGGAGCGAGATTGGAAAGATTGCAGAGAAGAGAGTGAGTGTGATGGAGACGTGCTACTGTTGCGGTATGTTCTATTAGGAATCCAAGGGACAAATGATATAATAATAATAATTTGAGGGAATTCGCCATTCTTAGTCAACAAATTATTAGTTATAATATTATTGGTGTAGTATTGAGATTGGTGTAACCGTTACCTTTTATGATTTCATCTTTAATATTATTTCATTATTTTAGACCTAGTCCACAACCAATTGTTGAAGAAGATTTACCGCCAAAATCCACATATCCAGTTCATTATACTCCAGAAGAATTAGCTGTTATCGAATCTAGAGAAATGCAATTATTTCGTCGTCTTAGACAAGTTTTACGTAGAGTTGTAGCACATTTAGCTAGCTTTCGACGATTTACTGTTTTCACTCGACCAGTACAAATTGATGAAGCACCAGATTATTATGATGTTATAAAACAACCAATGGATTTAGGTAGTATACGTGATAAAATTGATTGTCATCAATATCACAATGTGAATGATTTTATGAAGGTAAATTCTTATAACAAATTTAATACTATACCATCTTAGATATTAACTTATAATTGATAAATAGTTATCATATATATATATATATATATATATATATATATATATATATATATATATATATATATATATATATATATATATATATATATTGAAAGTATTCTATGAAGTTCTCTATCTAAAGATTTCATTGTGATCTAACTAAGATATGGGACTAGTTGATCCAGTCTCTTACTGTTGATCTGAACCGTATGGGAAGGTTTATATTGTCTGGTTGGAATCTATGAGACAATAGGAATTCTCTCGTACAACTTCGTCTAGTTTCATATCACTCCTTTTCTATTCACCTATTGTTTATGAGCTACTATGAAGTGTGGGATGTAAACCTGCATATTCTAATGTAGAATAAAATGTTCCTAGTGAGATTTGGAATCTATTATCCACTTCTTCAAACACTAGAGGGTTATGATAGTCATTGTTTGTGCAACGGGTAGAGTTTCATTGTTACAGTGGATAGTTAGTGCATTTGAATCCCAGCAGGAACGCAACATGACTGAATGACAAATCAACGTAGAACCTAACATCACTTCGTGCTACAATTCAGAGAAGTACCCAAAGAATAGTTGGATAGGAAAGGAGTGATGTCATCAAAGTTGACGAAGTTATGTTAGAGAATTAACACTCTGAAGATAGAGGTTAGTGTGAATATTCAAACTTTAGAAGATGTTGAAGAGTGAACACGCGTGCGCCTTTGTGACTGAGCTTCAGTCATGTTACCAAGAGTCAGTCCTCAACCACTAATTTTTATTGTCTCGTCGACCCCAACCAGGCTGAGGTCAATAGTCAGAGACTTCATTGACTGGTATCACGTTTTGGTCTGACCACCCTGAATCCTTTTCTCTCCTAATCCAGCTTACCCTAGGATGGCTGGTTGAAGTAGGTGGTGCCTCGGTATGCTCACTACATGTCCACGCCATCTCAGTCGACTAAGATTCGTAACTTCATCAATCAACTTGTCTGTCTTGCCTAGCACCCTTCACTTGACCTTAACATGGCTCACGTGGTGATTTCACCAAAGGCGAGTAATGCTACAAAGACATGTATGATCAAAACCATGTGATCTCTTCCTTTATTCTACTCTCAGCAGGACAGAACAGAATGCGGCGTAGTGTACTAGTCCTGTGATAGATAGTCGGGTATCTCTCAAACTGATGCCATAGATGACGCAAGTTGCCAAATATCAAATGCGCCTGTTGTATGCCATCTGAGATTACGTCAGCAACCAGCGAATTCAAGCTGATGCAACTCCCTGAGTGAAGTAGTCAACATATTCCACCACTTCATTCCCTATCATTAAATTGGGAGTACTTTCAGCAAATCATTTGTGAAGTATCGCCGTACATATTTGACAGCTGCCAGGCTCAGCGTCTTAACCTAGCAGAACAATATCGTCTACATACTCCAAGTCATCCAGGAGACTTCAATGGAGTAGACCAATCCTTGTGAAGTCAGACGTACCTAAGGTTGTGTCCACTAGTACGTCTATAACGAAGTTAAATTGGAGGGGTGACAGTGAACATCCCTAGCGGACACCACTAGTTGTTGTCAACACACTTTACAACCCTCCGTAAACCCTTAAATGGTCGCGTGAGTTCGAGTAGAGAGCTTTGATTAGCATTATATGCTTGCTTGGCACTACCTTCACAGTTAGACATTGTCACTGACTTCACATTATAGCAAGTGTCGTCTGTTGACCATCTCTGAATATGCCTGTCTTCAAGAATCTGTCATAGGGTGAGAATATGATTGACATACCATCGACTAGGTCTGAAACCTGGGATCAATATCGTTGGAGATACGTCTAATGAGTCCATGATGAATAGCACCCTGTATATATCTCGATAACCGTGTTGTTATGATTTTCAGTCTTGGGGAGTATTCAGTCCAACACTGTTGTGATGACTGTCGTTACAGTGTAACTATACTTGTCGCTTCGATTTTCCTTTACTGGTGTTATATTTTCATCCACTACTTACTGGCAGGCATGAGAAGGCTTCACGTGTTTCACAACTACTTCCTTTCTAGTGTAGGCCGTATTTCGTGGTGTCACCACGTGAGTAATGCAAAAGTCAGACGTAGACTTTTAGTCAGAAGAGGTAAGTCAGTTGACATGGTTATGAACCTTCATCGACTGAGATGAATGGCTGGCTGGCTGGCTGGCTAAGATATGTGTTACATATGCCCAGTCACCGTCTACCCCACCACACAATGTTGAAGGTTCAGGCTGAAAAAAAGGCTCAACATGGTCACACTAAAACATGCATCAAGTATGTATCAAGTATTTAGCTGTTCATATTCGAATGCTTTAGGATGATACAAACTAGCCGGTTGGGGTCCTTGGAATAAGAGAAACCAGTGATTGGAGATTAACTCTAGATGATATGGGTGAGAAGCGATGTCAGTGGCGGAGATGTATCCCCACACACATTATCCTCATCTTAATGATGCTATACTGAATCTCATCATTTTCTTATTCTTCCCTTCTCTCGTCTAGTTCTTTATATTCCTTTTGGTTGAATTTTCTTATCTTCATCTTGTGTCTCACCGCCTTTTTACTTGATGTGGTGATATATGAGTGTGGCAACTTTGAGGGTTACGCAGTAATACCTTGTCCTATGTTGATTTGGATGGATAGAGAGCCTAACAGTATATTTGTCTTATCATTTTAACACCAAGTATACGTAGATCAGAACATTGAATGTTCAATGTGAAAATGCAAAATTCCCGAAAGAACTCAGGTGATTTGATTAATCTCCTGTAGTTAATTGGTCACTGGGCGGGGGGGGAATAAACAACTTTATGTTGTTTAGTTCTAAGTGTTGATTAAATTCTATACATCATTGTTTAGTGCGGCCATTAGAGTAGTTGACTTAACATTGCGATGCCGTGTTGATAGGCTTTTTTAGTTAAATGGAGTCAGTTGATAAGTAGTTTTGCTAAACCTAGGGCTCATGCTTCATGAAACTCATCAACTTCTACGGAATTGATGTCTTACATTATATTTGAACTTGTATCATCCAATGCTGTAGTTAGAGACGTTACTATTGTGTTATTCAGGCTAGTTCCATAGAGGTTTTAGATATGCTTTGTTGATGAGTGATTCCCTACCTGTTGACTCCATTCAACCAACATCTCCGAGTTACAGGTTATCATAGTCTGCGGAATTGTTATTAGTCAGCTGGTGATGAATACCACAATTCGACAGAATCAATTGCTACGTGATGATGCTACATACCAAGTGATTCACAATTGGAAACTCAGTGACACCTACGAAGTGAAGACAGGAGAAAAACAAGACAAATTTGCTTAATATCACCGATGATCTCCCTGATTGTGGTCGACTGGACTGAACTGGACTGGATCATGCAAGAAACAACTGTGAGGAGCTGTGAGAAGATGAACATACACTGGCTGGAGTGATGATACGACAAAGGACCCCAGAAGATTTCGATTTCACCCCGATGATGATTTATGTGTAATGTGTTGTCGCATAAACTCGAAGATGTTCAGATGAAAAGCAACAAATTGGCAGAAGAGGTGAGGTGAGGCAAGACAAGGCAATGAAGATGAGACTTGCTTCATTCAGTTGAACGTATAGAAGACATAGGTGATGAAGATACCCAACCAAGAAGAAGAACAAGCACCAATGAGCATGAAGGGGAGAGATGTGATGCAAGTAGTCTCTTTCACGTACCACCTACTTGCCTAGACAGAATCGTTTTGACTACAGGTTGCTGTGGCGTTGGCGGTGGTGGTTGTGGTGGCGTTGGCGAGGGCACAGGGATGAGGATGTGGAAGGCGGTCAGGATCGGAAAGACAACAAGACAGGTTTTCGTGCATTAATGTGAAATAATCAGTGTGGATATGTACTGTACTGCAGCGGACTGCACTGAGCATAAAGTGTGAAGAAGATGTAGATTTTGAACACTAAGTTAGTGAGGTGAGTGCTTTTATATGATGGTTGAGAGAGTTGGGGGTGGGGCGGGGGGTTAGGAAAGTGTTTGCAACTAAGTGTAGACATAGATGAACAGCTGTTGCGTAGACTCATTGGATGGTGATAGTGAAGATGAGATGAGATGAGATGGCGAGAAGGAATAAGAATAAGCAAGGAGGAGGTTAGTGTGTCATGGCAACGAAGGAACCAACCAACGAAGAAGGTATCGTCGAAGAATTGTGGAGAAGCAGAAAGTGGAGATGGTTTAGCATACACTGAGAAGACGGTTTGGGACATTACGCGCCAGATCAGGCTGTCGAGTATAACCGGAATAGGAAACGACGAGTTGGATGTCCGAGGCGAGGGTGACATGGTGGAGATTGTGTGAGTAGGAAATCCAACCTTGTGGGCAGTTATGGAGCCAGGTTAAGACGATTGCAGAGAAGAGAGTGAAATGGCAACGTGCTACTGAAGCCGTATATTTCATTTGTGAAATTGCCAGTCTTGCTTCTATCTCTATTACAGGCTGTCTATAACTGATTTACAATATGCTGAAGAAAGTGAATTCATATTGTTTTGATATCTTGTCCTTCTTGCTCCCATGAACACATATACGCCTAAGGACAACACAGTATCTGTTGACTATGTTAACCTCGCCTAGTTAAGTAGTTCAACCCTCTACCTCAGCGACTTTGAAAAGGCCTTCGACAGCGTCGACCGAGAAGCAATTTGGTAGGCAGTTGCTTCAACACTACGGAATACCACAAACCTTTATCAACTTCATTCAACAACTATATGAAGACGCTACATGGTAAGTGATTGACAATGGGAAGCTGAATGATGCATTTGAAGTGAAGACAAGGTGGAGTGAAACACGATTGTCTACTATCACCGATGATCCCCCTGATTGTGTTGTGGTGGACTGGATCATGCAGCAAACAACTGTGAGGAGCGAGAAGAGGGAGATACGCTTGACCGGGGAAAATAACCTAGGAGATTTGGATTTCTCTGATGACTTGTGTCTAATGTGACACAAACTCGAGGATGTACAGGTGAAAACTAACAAGTTGACAGAGGGGGTAGGACAGCGGAAACAGGACTTCAAGTGAATGTAGAGAAGACGGAGGTGATGAAGATACCCAATGAACAACAGCATCAACAACAAGAGGTACGAATCACCATGAACGGGAGAAACTTGAAACATGAAGCGTGAATATGATGCGGATTTTCAACACGAACGCCAGTGAAGTCAGTGCTTGTGTATGGCTGAGAGACTTGGTGCGTTACGAAAGGGATTTCCAACCAACTACAGATATTGATCAACAACTGCCGCCTACGCTGTCTCGTTACTGAAGATCAGATGACCAGAATAATAAGAATGAGCAACAAAGAACTCTGGCTGGTTGGCTGGCTAGCATCAAAGCAAGAAGCTATTACCGAAGAAATATTCATTGGAAGGAAGTGTAGATGGATTGGGCATATTCTGAGAAGACGGACTGGTGACATCAAGTGCCAGGCCAGTTCAGGTACTCGAGTGGAAGTCAGATGGGAAACATCGAGTTGGGCGTTCAAGGTGAGGTTTACATGGAGTATATGGTGTGAGGAAGAAATGAGAGTTTGTGGGCAGTTGTGGAGCGAGATTGGAAAGATTGCAGAGAAGAGAGTGAGTGTGATGGAGACGTGCTACTGTTGCGGTATGTTCTATTAGGAATCCAAGGGAAAATAGTAGTGATAGTAATGTGATCCAGTAAACAATAGTACTATTGTAATGCTTCTAGTAGTAATAGTTCGTCATCATCACGATTTCTGTTCTTGTTTTTGCTGCATTTAATACATATGTTTACCTGTGGAAGCTGCTGCTGATGATTTGGTTTATGAAGTTGAATTCCAATCAATCCGTCTTATATAGAAACATGGGTGGTATTACTGCTCAAGGTGTGGGAAGTCAAATGGTAATGTCACTTACCCTACCCACTCCATACACACATGCCCCATTAAGGCATTTAGTTATAGATTTCTTGATGAAATAAATTTTCTTTTTTCACTTCTTATGTATGTTTTTTGTTGTTGTTGAAAAATCACAGGATATCGAATTAGTATATCGTAATGCACTGGAATATAATCCTGCTAACATTCCACGAAGTCGTGATATTCGATCAAGAGCCTATGAATTTTGGGATGAAGCATGTATTCGTATGGAAGAAGAACTTCAACCAGTTGATCTGAATGAGTTGTGTGAAGAAGTATGCATAAGTTTTTTTCATCTATAAAATATTTTCATTTAACTAGTATCAATCATTATACGCGTTTTGTTTGGGCAGTTATAAGATATTACTTAATTGACTGATTTAAGTAGTTAGTTAGCAATAGGATTTGTTTTATAAGATGGCTATGAGTATATTTCTAATAGATCCCTTTCTTTTCTAAAATAAATATTGAAATGATGAAGATCTTAATTATGTTCTGATCTGTAATCTGGGTAGTCTAATCATGAAGCTTTCATTGTCTACTTAAACAACGAAATCATATGCACTAACTTCAATATGAAGTAGTGAGTTGTCAATATCTATCCGTGAGCGATTCAGTAGCTTTCCCTGTCCAACTGGTTTATGATTGGTTGTTTCCTTTAATTGTTCTATCATTAACTGACTGCACAGATGTGCTCGTTAGAGATGTACACCTGCTTGACTTCTGATTTCTCTGTTGTTTTATCACTTTTCTTATTGATTGATAGACTTGCTGACTTACTTCAATGCTAAGCTTCTAGGAATTCTCTTATGATATTCTTTGTGTTTCCTCTCTATATCCAAGTTTCTACATTTACAAAACCAACTATAATAATTGTGATCAACACTATATTTGACAAAATGGTCACCCTCGTGTACTTCATATACATGAACACCGATTGAGTATTAAACGTAATGACATCTCATCGCTCATTTCAATGCATATAGATAACTATGAATACAAATTCGACTTTGAAAGTATCGAGATCTAGGGAAGTGGAAACACAAAAAAAATATCAGAGACTAGGACTCGAACTATGAACCGGTCGGTCTAAACTCTAGAGCGTTATCCAACAGAGGCAATAACAAGATATCCGCTCAAGAGTTCATGTGCCAATTTGTTCCACTCAATGATGGAATTACTTCAAGCAACATGATTAATACCAGAGACTTCTTGAAAGCTTGGTATTCACGTCAACCAGTAATCAATAGACAATACACCTAATCTATCGACAAGTGACAGGAATGATAAACAACTGGAAGGTCAGAGATCATTCAAAGAAACAGCCAAGAAGAATATCCATGGGTCAATGATGCAACAAACAAAGGAGTCAACCAATCACAAACCTTTTGTTAGGACAAGTTACTAAATCACTCACGGAGAACTGATAGCTTACGTATCACATTGAAGTTAACGCTGATGATGTTGTTTAGAAAGAAGTAATCATTCAACTCAGAGAACACAACGCAACCATGAAATGAATATTCTACAGTTTCAGTTATTATTACATAGTATTGGATACTTTTTTTTGATTACTACTACTGTCAACTGGTGCTACTCACCTTCACACATGAAATTATGAACTGCCATTATGTATAGGATTACACAGGTCCATTCTTTATAATAGTATTCATCATAGACTGACGTTAGTTAGAGGAACAGCTGTTTCACCCGACTAGTATGGGACTCCACAGCAGTACACACCCATGACCCCGTTCCATTCCACCAGGGATCGGAGTCAGGATTTTCAGGTTATGTGGCCAGCACGTTACCATTAAGCTAGCCACTGTGTTTGAATCCAATGGTCTATATTCCTGACTTCTGTTTGTTTACGACATCACCGAATGTCAATGTTGAGTATTTATCCTCATGTTCACCAGATTTTGCCTCACCAGTCATGACTTCTTATTGGAACTTCAGGAAATCACCTCTTGAAGCTAGCCACCAATGAGCAAATAGATCGCGATATATCGTGAACTGAAAGAAGTAGGAGATATAGATTATTGAATTGTGATCCTGTGGCTCAGAGTTAACGTGCTTGAAGATTGTGGGTTCGATACCTGGCGGGATTATGGGTGTTTCTCCAACTAATGTCATTTCATGATAAATATCATCATTAAACAGTTTAAAGCAAAAAACCGGTTAAATTTACCTATTAAAATGTAAAATTTATTGAATCGATAAACAAAAGAATTAAGTATATGTTAAGATTTGGTGGATTACTCTTGATATTTTTCCTGTTAGTTCTATGTTGTTCTGTATACACGAGATACTGTTGAAGAGACAAAAGACAATACACGACGGAAGGGCCGTTTATTGTCTACAATTGGAACGGTAGTCGTTACGTATGGTACACCTTGCACTAAACCTGTCATTTGCAAAATATGCTTCATTTCCTCTTCTGTTTCTTTCTTGATTTCTTCTTCATACATTCTTATCAGCAGCATCCACTGTAATACGCCTGCTTTATCCCTTGAGTTCCTCTTGGCAGAATCCTTACCCATTGCTGGTAATTCCCTATGATTCCTGCCACCATCTCAACATATACTACTTATATCCATTCTCATCAGCGACGTCCACTACACTCGTCCCCCCCTCCCCCTCAATGAAGTGATTTTTGATGAGTTTTCAGTCATTGATAATAAGCGATTGCATAATAATAGGAAGGCAACTGAATATTAATAGAAATTAAGAAGGGGAAGATGCTATGTGAAGTAAACGGATGAATAGTCCATGTGGTAAGTTAATTGGAATCTGGTGAATGATTTTGAAAGTTTTGCTAGTATCTATTCGATGTCCAGTGTCAACTAGGTGTGAAAGTATGCCCCTGTTTATTGTTCTAATATGTCGCCTTCCTCAACTATGATAGGTGTTGCTCAAAAATTCTATGATGGAGCTGTCTAATTGTACCACACCCAACGTAACTAACTCTGCAGGAACAGTTGAGTTGATAAGTGGACATGGAAGTGGCAGAATCAGGCAGTTTGTCTTTATTTCTTGCACCTAGAATCATATGGTTATAGAAGATGGAATATAATTGGCAATGTCACTCTTGAATTTCAGCTTCAAGAAGCTTTACTTCTTAGAAGCTGTTGGCGTTTACTTTCTTAACTCTCGTAATATTTATCTGCTTAGTTACAAACTTGTCTGGATTGAAATGTTTACTAAGAAGATGATCACGGATAAGGTGGAACACTCCTCCTTTAGAGCATCATCTAAGCAAACAGCTGTGACTTAGTCAGTCTTTTTCTTATTCATATGTGTTTATTTTTGTTCATATAGGCATTATCAGCACGTGCTGCACGATTATCAAATGAGAAAATGGTCAAAACTCCGAGTACTATGAAAAAGAAGGAAACAGAATGTCGTTCAACACATAGAAATGATGAAAATTTACAAAAATCGTCTATAAAACAACCATTACCTCCTCTTCCTCAAGGTGATCGTTATAGTCGAAGATTGCATGTAAGCTAAATTCATTTGATGAACCCACTTCTTTAATATTATTATTGTTACTACATCTATACAACTCAACATGACTGCATAACCGTACAACTTGCCACACTACATCAAGTAAAAAGGCGGTGAGGCACAAGATGAAGATAAGGAAATTCAACCGAAAGGAATATAAAGTAATAAACGAGAGAAGGGAAGAATAAGAAAATGATGAGATTCGGTATAGCATCGCTAAAATGAGAATAATGTGTGTAGGGATGCATCTCCGCCACTGACATCGCTTCTCACCCATATCACCTAGAGTCAATCTCCAATCACTGGTTTCTCTTATTCCAAGGACCCCAACCGGCTAGTTTGTATCATTCTAAACCATTCGAATATGAACAGCTAAATACTTGATACATACTTGATGCTATGTTTTAGTGTGACCATGTTGAGCCTTTTTTTCAGCCTGAATGTACTTCAGTCGACATTATGTGATGGGGTAGACGGTGACTGGTCATATGTAACACATATCTTAGCCAGCCAGCCAGCCATCCAGCCAGCCAGCCATTCATCTCAGTCGATGAAGGTTCATAACCATGTCAACTGACTTACCTCTTCTGACTAAAAGTCTACGTCTGACTTTTGCATTACTCACGTGGTGACACCACGAATACGGCCTACACTACGAAGGCAGTGGTGGTCAAACACGTGAAGCCTTCTCATGTGTTCCACCTTGAATGGCTATGTTTTAAAGGGAGGAATAGAGTGGAGTGTTGTGCATTACACGCAACGGTTAATAGCCAATGGGATATGACAGTGTCGCCACCTGTGGTGGAAGTTGGGAAAACCAGGTGAACTGTTTGTATTGATGCAGAGATTTCATCGGCAACTGAGGTATCCACGGGTGCTGATCTTCCTTCTCAGTTGAGTGAAGTGGTCAGCACACTGAACCAGTATACTCACTCACTGTAGCTGGGTGTGGTGTGTCACCGTTGAAGACTAATCGTCGGGTAACAATTAGCATTTGAGTGATGATAAGTGCATCCCAAACATTCTCAAATTGTCACTCTAGTGTCTAACGAGTGTTTCTGAGGAGATTGAAGTTTGCTATGATAGAAATTAGTCGTTTCATTCACTTGTTTACTTCAATATAGATTATCGATTTCTTCTTCCACTTACTCTCTGTAACAAAATTGAGTGAAAGAAAAGTGTAGAAGGCGAGTAGTAGTTGTCTACCACGCTACAGATAACGATAAAGCGTATGTATTCATGTGATTCATATTTTTAAGGATTCTCAAGCGTTGATTCTCCTTGTTCTATGGAACTCAACCTAGAAATCTGTTTATACTATGCTGATGATTGAACATAAAATGAAAATTTGAATCGCAGTGGGATTCGAACCGGAGACCATTGGGTTTTTGGCCTAATGTTCTATCAACTAAGCTATGAGTTTGGAATGCTGATCAGATTTTTATTTTACCTTTTAATCACCGATCAAACGGTAGTAACAGGTTTCAAATTCACATGGTAGTTAGGAAAAAATCCTCAGGTCACCGGAAACCCGATGGTCACTGGTTCGAGTCTGACCGCGGTCTAAATTTTTCATTTCATCTTCACTTATTATCACTCAGTAGAAATTACTAGTCTGCCATTATCATGACTGCTATATCAGATAGTCATAATGATAAACTAGAGATCTGTACTTTCTTACACAACTCTAAACAAAATATCGGTACCATGTTGAACTGATGGAATTTTAAACGTTTTCCTAACGTAACTATACTCCACGTATATCAGGGTGCACGTTGACTGAAATTCCACTTTCTGTTGGATAACTCAACCCTATGGGCACCTACACCTATACAACTGTAAGAACTAATCGATGAAATCTTAGTTATTAGAAGACTGAAAATGTATAATTTACTACACTATCTATGTCAATAAGTATACATATGTCTTACGTATTTCACCATTAACGGGATACATCCATGACCTGAAGTGTCAAGGTATAGGCTTCGTTTCTTTTGAGAGTATATCCCTTCACTTGTGTAATACTTGATACTCTGTGTACTGCATCGAATACACACATCTAATATGGAAGACTTTAGACGTTTACTGACATATTTAATATACCATTTACAGCTGATAACATTTTGTCTCCGTATTTCTATGTTATGCACTATGGAGTACTAAAAACCTTTATTAACCTCACTCAACAGAAGCTATATGCTATATGATGAGACTACATGGTAAGTGATTCACAAAGGAAAGCTGAGTGATGCCTCTTAAGTGAAGACAAGCAGAAGTAAGACAAGGTCAACGGGACTGGACTGGTTCATGCAAGAAACAACTGTGAGGAGCTGTGAGAAGATGAACATACTCTGTCTGACCGATGAAAAGACAAAGACCCTAGAAGATTTGGATTTAACCCCGATGGTGATTTATTTGTAATGTGTTGTCGCATAAACTCGAAGATGTATAAATGAAAAGCAACAAATTGGCAGAAGAGGTGAGGTGAGGTGAGGCAGGCAAGGCAATGAAGATGAGACTTGCTTCAGTTGAACGTATAGAAGACATAGGTGATGAAGATAACCAACCAAGAAGAATAACAAGCACCAATGAGCATGAAGGGGAGTAGTCTCTTTCACGTACCACCTACTTGCCTAAACAGAATCGTTTCGACTACAGGTGGCGGTGGCGGTAGTGGTTGCGTCGGCGAGGGCACAGGGATAGATGAGGATGTGGAAGGCGGTCAGGATCAGAAAGACAACAAGACAGGTCTTCGTGCATTAATGTGAAATAATCAGTGTGGATATGTACTGTACTGTACTGTACTGTACTGTACTGTACTGCACTGCAGTGTACTGGAGTGTAGTGGACTGCACTGAGCATAAAGCGTGAAGATGTAGATTTTGAACACAAAGTTAGTGAGGTGAGTGCTTTTATGTGATGGTAGAGAGAGTTGGAGGGGGGTGGGGTGGGGGTTAGGAAAGTGTTTGCAACTAAGTGTAGACATAGATGAACAGCTGTTGCGTAGACTCATTGGATGGTGATAGTGAAGATGAGATGAGATGAGATGAGATGAGATGAGATGGCGAGAAGGAATAAGAATAATCAAGTAGGAAGTTAGTGTGTCGTGGCAACGAAGGAACCAACCAACGAAGAAGGTATCGTCGAAGAAATGTGGAGAAGGAGAATTTGGAGATGGATTGAATTGGACACGGGCTGAGAATACAGTTTGGGATATCACCTGCCAGTCGTGGCTGTCTAGTGGAACGGAAATGGGTAAGGAGGAGTTGGGTGTGCGAGGTGAGGGTTGGTTATATGGAGGAAATGGTGTGAGGAAGAAATGAAAGCTTAGGGGGGTAGTGATGTAGCTAGATTAATAAAGAAGACTGAAGAGAAGAGACTGAAGTGGCGACGTGCTACTGATGCCCTATGTTACCCTTGGTCGCGTCCGAATGCTTCGGAAGCTGTCGTAAATTTTCTTGCCTTTATGTTGTGAAATATATTTATTCTGGAAAGGTTTTAATCAAATCGCTCTTCTGCACATAGTTCACGCGTTGTTATTTGAATTATGGAGTTTGTAGGGATTTAGTCATTTTTCAACTTGGAATTCATCATAAAGTATTGACATAAGTTAGAGGAATATTGGAAACCGTAGTGCACTACACAGCTGTTTTATTCAACTCGTATGATACCCATCAGGAGTGCACACTGATAGCCACGTCTTTCCAGGGATGGAACATGGTGGCCATGAGGTTAAAATACTCAATGATTACAGTGGGTGATGGTCGCTGTATTGCATGAACTGACAGAAGTTTGAAATGTGAACCATTGTATTCCGTTATGCTAGCCACGGAACCTGAAGATCTTGACTTTGATCCCCGATGGAGTAGGGCGGAGTCATAGAGAGTCTAATTCAATTCATGATGAATATCTAATTGTGTTAATTATAATCGGATTTGCTAATGTTACGTAATACATTATATTACTGTGTTTTTTCTCCTTCTATTTATTAGGGTGAATCTCCTATTTTAGAATTGAATGATATACTTCAATTGCAATCATGTAGTAGTAGACGTCGTTCTACTTTTACTCCAAGTACACGTAAAAGTGTTTCAGTGTTACAAACAAATCAGCATACTCCAGATCTTGATATTTCAATGTCATCATTTGATGTAAGTTATATAAAAGTTTCAATGTTTTTATGTACTTGATTGATTAGAATTTTATTATCAAGGTAGTTATTGATCACGGACACTGATATCATCATCAGTTGAAGAACCAATGAAAACTTGGGAATACAAGACAACTGTTTCGTTCTCTGATGAAGCTCTTCACGCGTACGAATCTATAATCTTATCATAAGCCGATCTCAAGGCTTTTAGGTTTCATGATGAATGTGTTAACCATTTTGTGATTAGGTTCAAAGTTCCCTATTTCTTTTCAGTTCACAATATAAGACGTCTGTCTACCAAAGTTTTCAATTGACATCTACTTCACTTCTGATTGGGTTAATCAAAAAGGTCACAACTCCTCATAAGAACTTCACAGTATGCATTTTCAAAGTATTTCATGATTAGGCTATCAGTATGAAGTTGCGGATTCATCATCATCTCCCAAATCAACATAGGACTAGGCATGACTGTGGAACCGTACAACTTGTCACACTACATCAAGTAAAAAGGCGGTGAAGCACAAGATGAAGATAAGAAAATTCAACCAAAAGGAATATAAAGTAATAAACGAGAGAAGGGAAGAATAAGAAAATGATGAGATTCGTATAGCGTCGTTAAGATGAGGATAAAGTGTGTGGGGATACATCTGCGTCATTGACATCGCTTCTCACCCATATCTCCTAGAGTTAATCTCCAATCACTGGTTTCTCTTATTCCAAGGACCCCAACCGGCTAGTTTGTATCATCCTAAAGCATTCGAATATGAACAGCTAAATACTTGATACATTGATGCTATGTTTTAGTGTGACCATGTTGAGCCTTTTTTTCAGCCTGAATGTACTTCAGTCGACATTGTGTGATGGGGTAGACGGTGACTGGTCATATGTAACACATATCTTAGCCATCCAGCCAGCCAGCCATTCATCTCAGTCGATGAAGGTTCATAACCATGTCAACTGACTTACCTCTTCTGACTAAAAGTCTACGTCTGACTTTTGCATACTCACGTGGTGACACCACGGAATACAGCCTACACTACGAAGGCAGTGGTGGTCAAACACGTGAAGCCTTCTCATGTGTTCCACCTTGAATGGCTATGTTTTAAAGGGATGGAGTGTAATAGAGTGGAGTGTTGTGCAGTACACGCAACGGTTAATAGCCAGTGGGATATGACAGTGTCGCCACCTGTGGTGGAAGTTGGCGAAAACCAGGTGAACTGTTTGTATTGATGCAGAGATTTCGTCGGCGACTGAGGTATCCATGGGAGCTGATCTTCCTTCTCAGGTGAGTGAAGTGGTCAGCACACTGAACCAGTATACTCACTCACTGTAGCTGGGTGTGGTGTGTCACCGTTGAAGACTAATCGTCGGGTAACAATTAGCATTTGAGTGGTGAGAAGTGCATCCCAAACATTCTCAAATTACTTCTCAAATTTTCCAGAAGGCTGTCCATTTTTTCAGCGCCTTCACCTAACAGGACTGAGTCGTCTAGTTTTCTAGGTTTAACGAAAATTTCCCTCGCGATTAGGTCAACCTCTGTGTAGTCAGGTGACGAGAGGAAGACCTGCATAGAAATATGTATGAGAAAATTGAATAAGAGTGGAGAGAGTGACCAAACTTGACAGACACCACTCGAGGAGTACAGCTTCCTGGATATCTGACCACAGGCTCTAACATGCTCACAAGTGCTCGGGTAGAGACCTTCAATAATGTGATGTACTTACTCGGCACACTTTTCAGTGAGAGACATTGTCATAAGTCTTCTCGATCAACGGAGTCGAGTGCTGTTTTCAGGTCGGAAATAAAGCTATTGTCGGGCGTTGGTAAGCGTCTTTGTTTTTGAAAGCCTGGCGCAGTGTGAATATTTGGTCGATACACCCGCGGTCGAGTCTAAAGCCTATCTAGTTTTCTCGGGCTTGCTGTTCTCGTGCTTCACTCAGGCATCGAAGAACTAAGGAACACGGAATCGTCAGGCTGATTCCTCTGTGGTTATCACAAGAGGACTTCTCGCCTTTCTTGAAGACTGTAATAATCAGTGATTTAGACAAGTCAGAGGGGATGGTATGTGATTGCTATATATACTGGTTAACACTTCTGTCAACTTGACTAAGAGCACCTTACCCCCGGATTACTGATATCATTTGGATAATAACTTGATAAAAAACGAAAGTTTAGTACAATTGATTTATTCTAGTATAGGATTGGTTAAACAGTGAGCACTGACAACCGTGCTAGGGATTGGAGCCTACGACCATTTGTGTTGTGGTGGACACGTTAATGTTCACCATTGTGCCGAGACAATATGGTCCATATTTACCTTTTCTTAGCTTCTCTCATACAGTAAAGGCATCTTTCAGTTCTAGGCAAATAGTTAAGTACTGTGGTGGTACGTTGATCAGTGCTGCCTAACGAGTCACTGGATAACAAGGAGAAACATGGAGATCAGTTGGAATTTATCATGAACTTACATCAGTTGGAGAAACAGTGGACACCTGAGAATACTGGACAAGTGTATCGTCCCAGTATGGAACTTCTCAGCATTACGCATCCATGACCCCTCTAAGTTCCGTGGCCAGCACGTTACCATTGAGCCAGTGGATCGCAGTCTAATGGTTCGCTTCTGTCAGTTCGTTATATGACGCAGTCTCCACTCAAAGTTTTTGTTGAGTAACTGTCCTCATTTTGACTTGGTTAGCTTCATTGGTCTTGCGCTCATTCGTGAATAGCTTCAAGAGAGGGTTCTCGAAGTTCCAAAAAGAGGTCGTGATTAATGGGGCCAATCAAGGAGAACATGAGGACAGTTACTCGACGATGGCATTGGATGTAGGTCGCGCTGTATCTTGAGCTGACAGGAATAGGAAATATGAACCATTTAGTTCTCATTCATAGCAGCGTATTGGCCGCGAAACCTGGCAGGATCCTGAGTGCGCACTGCTGAAGTGTGTCATACTAGTCGGACGAAACAGCTGTCCAGTTCTCTTAGGTTTCCTTTGTTTCTCCAAGTGATGTAAATCCATAATGAATTCTAACTTCAGGTATGGAAACTATTAAAGGAGATATTTGTGAGCATCAGAAACGATCCTTCGAACATTCGTTGTAGATTTATGTTGAAACAGACCAATGATGATCTGGTTACCATACTTTCTATTCACTTCTCTGAATGTGTTAAATGCATTATACTTCTGACTGCAAGTATCCAGTTAGAAGATTAGATACTTGTAGAACTGCGATTGACTTTCGACCGATAGGTCGCGGGTTCGAGTCCCGGTCCACATCCCGAGCATTGGACTGCTAGGTAGTTGTATCATTAGCCCTCATGCAATGGGCGTTTGGCTCATTGCTTACTGAACTAATACTCCCCTTGGTTGCTGAATCCGTTCCGATTAGCAATTCGCTATTCGACACTTTACACACTCACTCAGGCATACATCCTGATTGTAATTTCCCGTTATTGATTCAACCAAATTGATTGATCTCTTTCCGCGAATTGGCTCCTGTGTAGATATCTTCATGTTGCCGGTTGTTATTGATAAATATTAGCTGGCCATTAGATTCCAGGATACTAATTTCATTCTATATAAAACTTTTGTCAACTAGATGTGTATATCTACCTCCCATTGATAGGACTCGAGCCTAGAAACAATAACTTCTTCACTTCTAAATGAGACTGATTGTTATGTTTACCACTTTATATTATCTTGATAATGTCTTGATTGACTCTTTGTTTCTTATTTTGAGAAATTTTCTTAACAAAGAAGTATTTGAAATCTCATGGTAATATCATGCCAACTACTTCTAACCATCTATAACGTGAATCGAGGTGCATCAAAATATACTGGATCTCTTCTAGCTTTAGTTACAATATGATAGAATAATTAATCGATAAAATTGTGTTATGTAATACTAATCATAACCAACTTGAAATATTGGGCGACATAGGTTCATAAAACTCTTTTCCTGGGTATGAGTTCTCTATTAAAGTTGTAGGTGATCTAGGACTTCTTATCGATTAACTTCCACCTTCTTTGATTGGTTGTTTGTGTACATTTTGTTTTAGTACTCAAAGGGTGGATCGACTGAGATGACTGGCTGGGATATGTGTTACATATGCCCAGTCACCATCTACCCATCACACAATGTCGACTGAAGTACATTCAGACTGAAAAAAGGCTCAACATGGTCACACTAAAACATGGCATCAATGTATCAAGTATTTAGCTGTTCATATTCGAATGCTTTAGGATGATACAAACTAGCCGGTTGGGGTCCTTGGAATAAGAGAAACCAGTGATTGGAGATTAACTCTAGATGATATGGGTGAGAAGCGATGTCAGTGGTAGAGATATATCCCCACACATTATTCTCATTTAACGATGCTATACCGAATCTCATCATTTTCTATTTTTCCTTTGTCTCTTTCAGTAATTTATATTTGTTTCGATTGAATTTCCTTTCTTCTTCATCTTCCACTTCACTGCTTTTCTACTTGTGTTAGTGTCAAGAAGTCTCCGATTTTCAATGATTCTCCGATCGATGTGAATCCGTGATGAATACTGACATACTTGTTCATTGTACTCAGTAACCATGTAGACATTTGTACTATAAATGACTAGCTACACTTGTTGTATGAGGATTAATGATACAGCACGGTTCGAACCCTGTGATCCATTGGTTGTAAGCCTTAAGCAATATTACACTGGCTGACTGACTGATACTAACAAAATCAACGTAGGACCTTTCACATAGGTGGAGTGGCTCAAATTTGCCATAGTTCACAGTACCATACAAAGAACAGGTGGATATGTCGAGGTAGACGTTGACCCAGCATTCTCACCACATCTTCAAGTCATCTAAATTCACTGAGATTCATAATAACATCAAACAATTTGCGTATCTTGCTAGCACCCTTCATGATGAGTAATGCTACGAAGACGTATGTGATCAAAACCGTGTGATCGCTTCCTTTCTTCTACTTTCAACAGAACCGAACGAACTGCAGTGCAGTTATTCATCCTGTGTTAGGATAGTCAAATACCTAGCCAACTGGTGCCACAGATGACACAACCTATCAAATGCCAGATTATCCTTCTGTATTTCAGCTGAGATTTCGTCAGAAAGCAACCTGTTTAAGCTAATGCAACTCTTCAAGTAATTGAAGTGGTCACTATATTCCACTAGTTTACTCTGTATCATTAAACTGGGAATGCTTGCAACAGATCAGTCCTAGAGGATTGGTTACCAGCGAAATACATGCTAAACATACTAAGATTCCTGATGAATGTGTTTAAAAAGCCTTGAATTTTGTTGACACCTAGTAGGGTAATATGCTTTGCATAGTTCAAATCAACTAGATCACCTCTAAGGAGTAGATCATTCCTCCTTGAAGTCAAAGAGCCAAAACTTGATGTTCATTTCAAATTTCATTATTTGTTAAATCATTAGTTAACATTGTGAACCTTTTTATGTTCTTCATTATCATAGGTTGTTTTGAAACCATCCGAGAGTAGTACACATGATCTTCATTCGAAGTTAACTATAGAACGTAAGTTTTGATCCCTTTTCATTTGTTTATCTCCTTTTTTTTCTTATGAAAATGATCAGAATATACCTATTCAATCGCTTGATGAAACGGAGAGGGAAGCGCTCCATCTCATTGCCTACTTTGACTAATATTTCTCAAGGTACCATCTTTTCCTCTAATCTTTTCTCTCTTTCTCTCTCCTTCTGTAAGACTTATAGTATCTTCATCGAGTATCAATTTTATTGGATTTCTAATGACTTGATAGTTTCTATACCTATCTCCTATTCAACAGGTCGTTCGTTTCCAACTGAAAGATTTGCTGTCTACTGTTAGATGGATGGTTCTACGTGAAATGGTCTTATACTATGTAAATTGATTAGATCTCATGATTCCTATCCTATTGATAGTTGTACATTAGAGAATGTTACAAGTGTGACTTATATCGACGTGTATTTTTCTTCGAATCTTTTCTGGTACTCCCATAGCTTACTAATTTCCAAAAGAATTCTCCGCCTAACTTTGTATATTAGGAAGCTGAAAGTATCTTGAGTAATTTAGACTCTCTTCTTGTGTTGTATAAACTCCTGCATCTTGCCTACTCTCGTCTATTATTCTTTCATGGGTTGTTGGGTCAAAAAAAACTTTGTTGCATGATGCGTAGAAGTGTGAAGATTGTCAGCAGAACTAGTGGTGTACCTCGAAACTTCCAGAATAACAAGCACCAATCACCATCAACGGCAGAAATGTAAAGGAAGTTGTCTCTTTCACCTACTACCTACTTGCCTAGGCAACATCGTTTCAACTACAGGCGGCGACACAGGCACGCATGAGGACGTCAAAGCCAGCCAGGATCGGAAAGATAGCAAGATAGGCCTTCATTAACATAAAACTGGTGTGCATATCTCCTGCACTGTACTAAGCATAAAGCATAAACAACATCCGGATTTTCAACACCAATGCCAGTCAAGTCAGTGCTTCTATATGATGGTTGACAGAATTGGTGCGTTACGAAAAGCATTCCCGATAAACTGAAGATATACATCATGAACAGCTATCGCCTACAGCTCACTCGATGCTGACACTGAAGACCAGATCAAATGGCTAGAAGAAATAAGCAAGGAGGAAGTCACTCTGGTCTATGGTAACGAATCAATCAACGAAGAATCTATCGCCAAGCAAAAATGCAACTGGAGTAGGTAGCGATAGATTGAATTGGACCTAGACTGAGAAGTTGAATTGGGGATATCACGCGCCAAATGGTATTATTATTTTTACTATTATTATCATTATCATCATTACCAGTATGAAGTCGAAAATCTTATTAGTGTATTATTTTTTTTTTGTGTGTGTGTTATTTTAAGCTCTACTGGAATCTGATGTTTCGAGTAGTTCGCCTAAACAGTTGTATTTATCAAAATCATCACCTATTGGTAAATCGCCTACACCATCACAACAACAACAACAACAGTCTACACCATTACAAATTGATCTACAAAGATTGAATCATTTTCTTGATCGAGTTGTTGTTAAAACAGATGGTTGGTCAACAATGCAACTTGTCAATTTACACACTGATTTCACTAATATAATACTTTGGAAATATGCACATATAACAAACCGTTTATCATTGTCAGATGTAAGTTATTATATTTTACTACTATTACTACCACTATATATATATATATATATATATATATATATATATATATATATATATATATATGTCACGTTCGGTTTCTTTTTCATCTTTTATATCAAATTTTCTCTTCGTACCTACCGAGTTGAATAAGGGTGCTACCTTGTCCAAAGAAGGGTAACCTAAGTTTTTGGAAGAACTGGCGTAGAATCATGCTGTTGTCCACACCAATCAAAATGTTAAACCGCATCATCTTGGAGAGAATAAAAACTGTTCACCAGAATAAGGTGACTGGAATCAGAAGTACAAGCCCTGCGTGAACCAAATTGCAACGCTACGCTATGCATCATCATAGAACAGAGGATAGAATGACAGTCAACTCTCTATTTGAACTTCATCGACTTTGAAAAAGACATTCGACAGCGTTGACCGTGAGGTAATTTGAGAGGGAGGTGCTTCAACACTACGGAGTGCCATGAATCTTTATCAACTTCATTCAACACGTGTATGATGACGTCACACGGCAAGTTATTCACAACAGAAAGCTGAGTGATGCCTTTGAAGTGAAGACAGACAGAAGTAAGACAAGGTTTCCGCCTACTATCACCGATGATCTTCCTGATTGTGGTCGACTGTACTGGACCAATCAAGAAACAACTGTGAGAAGATGAGCAAACGCTGGCTGGAGCGATGAAAAGACGAAGACCCTAGAAGATTTGGATTTCACCCCGTTGATGATTTATGTCTTATGTGTTGTCTCACAAACTTGATGATGTACAGATGAAAACTAACAAATTGGCAGAAGAGGCAGGGTAGTGAAGCCGGGACTTCGTTCAGTTGACTGTAGACAAGACAGAGGTGACGAAACTACCCAACCAACAACAATGACATGAAGAACAAACACCAATCACCATGAAGGGGAGAAATGTAAAGGAAGTAGTCTCTTTCACCTACCACCAACTTGCCTAGACAGCATCGTTCCAACTACAGATGGCGGTAGTACAGATGAGGATATCGAAGCTAGTCAGGATCATAAAGACCGCAAGACAGGCTCTCATTAACCTGAAACCAGTGTGGAGATCTTCTACTCTGCACTCAGCATAAAGAACAACATCCGGATTTTCAACACCAATGCCAGTCAAGTCAGTGCTTCTGTATGGCTCAGAGACTTGGTGCGTTACTAAAGGCATTTCCAACAAACTTCAGATATTCATCAGCACCTGTCACCTACGCTCACTCATTACTGAAGATCAGATGGCCAGAATAATAAGAATAAACAACAAGGAACTCTGGCTGGATGGCTGCCTGGCTGACTGGCGACGAACCAACAAAACAAGAACTTATCACTCAACAAATATTCAGTGGAAGGAAGTAGAGATGGATTGGACATACACTGAGAAGACTATTCTGGGACATCACGCACTACGCCAGTCCAGGCACTCGAGTGGAAGTCAGATGGGAAACGGTGAGTTGGGTGTCCGAGACGAGGGTGACATGGAGGAGATGGTGTGAGGAAGAAATGAGAGCTTGTGGGCAGTTGTGGAGCGAGATTGGAAAGATTGCAGAGAAGAGAGTGAGTGTAATGGAGACGTGCTACTGAAGCGGTATGTTCTATTAGGAACCGAAGAAACAAATGTTGCTGCGTTCCTGATCTCACCTGACTTCGACATCTTCGTCTTTGCTGGGTGTAGTTGAAACTATGCTGCCTAGATAGGTGAAAGAGGCTGCCTCTTTTCAGTTTCTCCCGTTGATGGTGATTGCTGGTTGTTTTTGTTGTTGTCTTCTCTACGTTCACTTGAAGTCCTGTCTTCGCTGCCTCTATATATCATCATAATCATAATTGTTGGTTATATTTATGCAATTGTTTTGTTTCCTCCCCCCAACCCATCTTCCTTCATTAAATTCATTCTCTCATGTTTTTTCTTCTGTTTTATTTGGATTGAATAGGATTTTGAAACATTTTGGCTAATCATCAAATGGCTATGGATACGACACTTGATAATAATTCCATTTTCAATTAAATTAGGCTTATTTGATAATGATTTATATTTTGTTGTCTATCTGTCTATTATTATTATTATCATCATCATTTCTTAGAGATATTCTAATGATTAGTTGTTGTTTTTCAAGGCCTATAGGGGGTTACCTTTAAGGAGTATTATTATTGGTGCGCCTCAGGTGTTCCATTTTATATGGCAGCTTCTTTTTGGCGTTTACTTTTGTTTTAACAAAATATACACCCTATAAGATATTTCACATTATTAGTTTCCACTTGATCTCTTCTTATCATCCTTACTATTATTATTATTATTATTATGTGATTTATCTCTTCTCTCGGAGGTTATTGTCTATCTAATTTTCTTCTACTTTTTCTTTGTTCTATGTTTCATCATAATATTTTCATTGTAAAACTTACGTCTTGTTGTTGTTGTTTTTCATGGTGGTGGCCATGGTTACCACTAATGTTTCTGTAACAATATGATATATTCACATCGGTGATGATGACATTGTTGTAGGCTAATTAATGATCATGATGATGATGATAGTCAGCCTCGGATTGCTTACTAACGTGGCAACCCCTCTACCCACCTGCTTCACTAGAACCTTTAACCTTTTTTCATGAATTGCATTTTAGTTGTTGTATCGTGTTTTATTTTCTCCGGATTCCCTTTTTAGCTTTTTTTTGGGGGGGGCATTCTCCGGTTAACTTCATCTAGGCGTTGTTCAATTATCTTTCCAATGAAAATATTTTCATAACTATTAATTTTAAACAAGTTTTTACAAATATTATTATTATTATTATCTAGGTGCTTTACTAGACATTTTGCTATTGTTATACTGCCTACCAATGATATTATTATCATTACTATTACTACTATTACCATTATTATTACCATTATTATTATTATTATTATTCAGGTGGGAGTTAGCAATTTTTATTCCCTTTTTTTTCTCTTGGTTTTTTGATATAAAGTTTAGTTATAATACTTACAATTTACAATGATGACTAAACTTACTTGTATTGTGTGTGTGTGTGTGTGTGACTATCTAAGGTTCATTATTATTTACAGTCTAGAGGGGGTATTCTCTTTCATTATTCGATAATCGAGATGATATTTAACTTCAATTAGAAAATGTCTTCTTTTTTTTCAATCCTCTAGTCTGAGTCAAAAAAGGCCTATTTTACAGTGTAAAAAGACTGTTAATGTAATTTTATGTTTATTTGTCTCTTTTCAGTGTTAAGAAAAATATACATACCGTATTATCATTATTATTTTTCTCTTGGGCTCCTAGTGGACATACAGCAGTCTTCAGAAGTACGTCTCGATTGTACTCTGTTCTCTACAGTCTTTTGAACCTGTTGCCACGACTGCCCACATGCTCTCATTTCTTCCTCACACCATATCCTCCATGTCACCCTCGCATCGGACACCCAACTCGTCGTTTCCCATCTGACTTCCACTCGAGTGCGTGGACTGGCGTGGTGCGTGATGTCTCAGTGTATGCCCAATCCATCTCCACTTCCTTCCACTGAATATTTGTTGAGTGATAAGTTCTTGTTTTGTTGGTTCGTCGTCAGTCAGCCAGCCAGAGTTCCTTGTTGTTTATTCTTATTATTCTGGCCATGTGATCTTCAGTAATGAGTGAGCGTAGGTGACAGGTGTTGATGAATATCTGTAGTTAGTTGGAAGTGCTTTTCGTGACACGCCAAGTTTCTGAATCATCACATAGCAGCACTGACTTGACATTGGTGTTAGTGTTGAAAATCCGGATCTTGTTCACGCTTTCTACTGAGTGCAGAAGATCTCCATACTGGTTTCAGATTAATAAGGGAAGACCTATCTTGCTTTTCCGATCGTGCCTGGCTTTGACTTCCTCGTCTGTGCCACCTGTAGTTGAAAAGATGCTGCCTGCCTAGGTAGGTGAAAGAGACCACTTCCTTTAGGTTTCTCCCGTTGATAATGATTGGTGCATGTTGTTGATGCTGTTGTTGGTTGCATACCTACATCACCTCTGGCTTGTCTACATTCACTTGAAGTCCCATCTTCGGTACCCTTGCTCTTCTATCAACTTGTTAGTTTTCACCTGTAGATCCTCGAGTTTGTGAGACAAGACATTAGGCAAAAATCATCATGGTTGGCGAAATCCAAATCTTCTAAGGTCTTTTCATTGGTCAAATGGCGCATACCCATCTTCTCACAGCTCCTCACGGTTTGCTGCATGATCCAGTCGACCACAATCAGGAAGACTGTCGGTTATAGTAGGTAGCCTTGTCTTAGTCCTGTCTTTACTTCAAAGGCATCACTGAGCTTTCCATTGTGAATCACTTAGCATGTAGCATACCGTATTCTTATACCCCTATAATTTTATCATAATGTCATCTAATCCTATGGTTGAGGAACACAAGGATATGGAAAAGTCTATTCATCCATCTAGTATTCATTTGCAGCCCTCCAAAGAAATATTAATATTACATACTGGATTTAGTGGTGCCGTTTCATCTGGTCAACGATGACTGATGAATACATAAAGCAACTATCCCACTACTATCTCAATTATTTCACAATCTATCAAAATAACTGTCCAGGAAATACAACTATCTGATGGGACATACGACCATTACATCAGTTCTTCTAAACACAATTTCTTGGAAGAGATAAACCATGCTCATATTGACAATGATAAACTGTGACGATTAAACAATCCAGCTGAAAGAACAATTACACCATCAAAATTATCTTTCTGACCCTTTATCTCATAACTGGTAGTTCCTCAGTGAATCTCTTAGGCTATAAATGAACATTTGAACATAGAAGTTTATCTATCCTGCGTCAAGTATGGAGCGCTGAATTTGTCTGTCATATGAAGCAAGTACATAAGGAGATTTACGCAAAATTTGCATCTAATCCTACAAATTCTATTCTATTATTAAGGCTAAAAGAAATCCTACAGAATCTGCTAGACAATAATTCAGTTTATCATATTCAATGCAATGATTCTGAGGTAATTAGATGGATCAAGGTATACAAACAAAATGAATATAGGATCGTAGATTACTGTGTAGAGACCCAAGTTGCCCACACCTCGTATTAACGCATCAAGTAAGAGTAATGAGAAAATACTAACTTAGATGAGTATAAAGTGTGCATGCATCTGGGCTACTGACATCACCTGTTATCACATGAATCTCAACCGGCTAGTCTGCATCTCCCTACATGGCTCAAACGAACGGTTAAGGATTGTTGTGTTTTAGTTTAGCCCCAGGTAAGTGAAGTAGTCAACGCACTCGACTGCTTCATTTCTAATTGTTAGAGCACCACTGA